TGGGGCGAGGAACATTATTCAGATGTAAGCATGGATACTGTGCATAAGGACAAAACTATTTATAAAATGTATATGATATTTATTTTATATATTTATTTATTTCAAAATAATTTTATTTTTAATGAGAGATGCTATGACCGGATTTTCATCAGGAAGAATAAGGTCCTACTGAAACAGGAAAAAAAATGAGTTTTAAGAGCTTATCGGCAATAAAATTGTCTTTATATTGTAGATTTCTTGCTAGCCCTTTTTTTTTGGCACTCTTCAACAACTAACCCAGTATTCCCCCAGCAATATGAACAATAAATCCACCTCAAAAAAGGGCTTTGTGCAGTAAAGATCAGTTACCTAAGCACCAAACTCCTGCGGGAAGATGACATCAAAACTCAGGTCTGGGAAACCCCAGCTCGGTCCTTGGGGCGTGAGGCATCTCCGTGGATTTACCATCCTGCTCAAAACCAAGAGGACAAACATTTGGAGCATCTGCTATGTTTTGGATGGACCCATCAGATCTGCAATAAAACCAGCACATCTTCCATGAGATTTACCTGCAGCACCATGAAAAATCTGTGGAGAAATAGCAACAACAGCAATTCGAAAACCCCTGGCTTTTAGGCAATTACCGTGGATGAGGATCATCCCTGCAGGCAGTGCTTGGATGTTCATGGCTGTGTGGCATTTTTTCTGCAGAAGCTGCCTGGTCCCACAGTCTTGTCACCTTTCCTCTCCTCCAACTGGGCTCAGCAAACCTGATGGCATTTGGCAGCCCTGAGCCAGCTCCCTATTCCCAGCTGGTGCCCAACAGTGCCAGGGAGCCCCAGAGCCCTCCTCCAGTCAGGCCAGGCCAAGGACACTCATGGGGAGGCTTGGCTGTGCCAGCACACTAGTGACACTTGTGCCACACGTCTGTTACACTTGGGATGTCACAGACTGCAGGGAAAGCCTCCAGCAATGGTGCCAGTTCATGTTCTGTCCCCTGATCAGCAGAGAGGGATTTCAGCACACGGTGGGAGCAGCAGTGTGTGGTTGCAGAGGCACGGGCACTTTGCAGCACCAGGAGAGGCTGACAGCAAACAGGATTCTCTGGAGCGTGCAAAAACCTGAACAACTACAGCTGAGGTGGCTCTGGGTTTTCCTTATCACAACTGCTTTGTCCACAGTGTTGTTTCTTAACCTCCTCCTTGCAAAACCATCGTGGTAAAATCTCAGCTCCTTCATCTTCAGCCTGTGAATTCCCAGGACGTTTTCACTGGCCTAGAGATGATCCGCACACCAGCTTCTTCATGAGCTACCTCACTGATGGAGCAGCAGCCCTAGAGCCCAGCTCTGCTCCCGTCTGTCTCTCGCCCTCTGTGCCACCTCCCATGTCCCTGCCACGTCCCTTCGCTGTCCCGGCGGGTCCAGCAGCCACCAGACGACAGGCTGGGGTTGGCAATGAGGAGATTACAGGAGCTTTACCTTCAATGATCCAGACATGAAGGAATTTAATCCCGTGTTTGAAATAAAAAGAGTTTATTTAGCTTCTTCCTCTGAGTCACTGCCGAAACATCTCATCCCCGGCTGTGTCGGGAGCTCGCTCGCTCACGAGTCCTCAGGTGCACTTTTGACCTTCCCCTGCAGGGAAGGGAAATCCCTCAGCCCTCGAGCCTCACTCTGCTCCCTGGGATGATCCTGCTCCCTCCAGCCAGGGCTTTCCATTGTGCTTGAAGAGAAATGTGGTGGTTAAGATCCTGCACCTTTTCAAAATGAAGGTCAAAACCTGATCTCAGCAATGCCAAGTATATTTTTTACCAACTCCAAAGGGAGATGATTTGGCCCGTGAGGGCAACATTGGACTTGTTCTTCTGGTACCCAACTCAAAGAGCTGCTGCAGCAAAGCCTCCTGCCACAAAGGGACACACAGGTACCAGGGATGCTGTAAAACACTTTTTCAGGATCTGAGTTCAAAAAACTCATACTTGCAAAAAGTAAAATCCACAAAGAATTTACTGGAAACCCCTTGGTAAAGACTAGTGTCTTGTCCTGTGTGGGGCATTCCTTAGATGGGGAAATCCCACCCAATTGGTTCTTTCACAGGAATTTACTTTGTTTGGTTCTGGTTCAACAAAGCAGCTGAAGATGTGAGTGACCTGAGTGACCTGGGAACTGCACAGCAGCAGAGGGAACCAGCACAGACATTGGGTGCATTTTGAGTGGCACAGGAGTGTGTGATGCACAGCAGGTTTGTGTGGACACTCTCACCTCTCCACCCCATCCCATCTCCCTTGGCCCAGCTGTGACCCCACCTGAAGAAGCCAACTGCTCCTTTGGCTTGGAGGTGTTCCAGGGCTGGCTAACAGACCCTGCTAGGAAAGTTTGAGAGGAAAATATGTTTGGGTTGCTTCAAGCTAACAGAATCTTCCAAGTCAGCAAAAGGAAATAGTGTTTATTTCGGATCTCAGCTCATGTAGATTCCATGGGGTTCAAAGTCACAACAGCCAACAGGAAAACTTCTCTCAAAGGGGAAGCAAAGGCTGGTGCAGGGGGTGGCTGTGACCCCCCAGAAACCCCACTGTGCCCCTGACCCCAGACCTGTTCTACACTCAGGACTGTGGGTCTGGAAACACCATAGCAAACAGGACAAAAGGCATCTCTTCAAGCCTTCTCCTTCCACCCCAGAAGGGTGGGCCTGCTCCTTGGGAAACATAATCCTGGGACAGCTGTGCAGAGCAGGAGCGAGGAGGCTCCAGCAAAGAGGAGGGAAAAGTGCCCGAGTCTCACTATGAGGGTGCAGAAACAGAGAGGAGCTGCCTGGGAGAGGCCAACGTGGAGCCAAGCACAGCAGTGCCTTTATCCCTGGCTTTGGCCCATGATCCAGGGCACAGGGATGGATTGGATGGATTGTCTGGAGACTGATATACAAGTGACAACATCTACTTGGAGACCTCGCTGCCTGTAGGGAGCTCTTCTGGGTGGAATGCATGGCCTGGGGCTCCTTTCTCCAAAGGAGAGAGGAGCCCCCAAAGACTCACCTCCTGTAGAGAGAGTGATGGAGAGCCCAAAACTGCAGAGGGAATCCAGAAACTCGGAAGAAATCCAGAAACTGCTGGAAGGCAATGAAGGTGTCCTGGTGTTGTCCCACTTGGCTGGACATCCAGAGATGTGCTGCTGCTGCCAGACTGTGGCTTTGATGTTCCTGGAAGGGCACCCAGGGATGGAGCATTCCTGAAGGAGAAGCTCGTGTTGATGTGGAGACAAAGACATCTGACACCCCTCGGGACAGTGCTGGTTATTGCTTTTTCCAAAACAACTGCCCCAGAGCTGCTGAATCCTCATGGACAACACCAAGGGTGTCACCTCATACCTGCACTGGGTTTGAGCAGGAGCCCTGGGAAGCGAATTCCAAGGATTCTCAGGCTCTTCCCTTGCTGTGCCAGGAGGGATCTGGCAGAGATGCCCCCAAGCAGGGCAGGTCACCACACCAGACGTGGCCAGGGCACGTGTCCTGAGCTGCTGCTGCTCTTGGGCATGGGCGAGAATCCAGGGAAAGGAGCACCACTGTGTGCAACTGAACTCCTGCAGCAGCTGCTGTGGCTGTGCCGGGCTTTGGGCGGTGCCTCAGGTATCAGTTACTGCCTCACTCATTCTCAAGCGGTTTTTGTGCACACAAGGCCAGGGTGGTGGCTGAGATCAGACCTTGGAAGTAGCCGAGCACAGACCCAAGGGGTGACTTCACCTCCCCCTGTACCCACCTTCCCTGAGCCCCTGCCCTTCTCCAGGGCAGTGTCCCCTATCGGGCCACTCCCCATCCCAACACTCCTCCAGTGACCCCCAAACCACCTCCTCCCTGGGGAAAGCAGGAACAGGAGCTGTGGTTGGATGCAAGGGTCACACACAGGATGAACTCATCCCACTCATCCCAGCCACACACGGCAGGGCAGGAGCTTGTCCAGACCCTTGACAGCAGCACAGCTTTCCCAGACACGTTTGGAATTCTGCTGGTGCTCCATCCCAGGCCTCATCCCCTGGGTGGGTTCCAGAGCACAGAGGGTGCACAGGGGGTTATTTGACACCTGGGCAGGTCTGGGAAGTTCAGACACCACGTGATTACTGGTGCCGGTGCTGCAACACCAGCATTTTTCCAGACTCCTCCAGCTGGGAACATTTAGGACATTTGGCTTTCCATAAACATTGAAAATCTATCCAACTTCAAAACTATTTTTTGCTTGAACTGATGAATTTAGCTTTATTTACTGTGTGCAGAGTGGTTCTGCTTTTAAGATAAAGGCAAAAGTTGCTCAGGCTGGGCACAGCTGACACAGCAACGGGGCTGGTCAGTGTTGGGACACCTCAGCACAACATTCTGGACATGGACTCACTCCCAACCCAACACAGGCAGCCACATCCAGGCTGAGCTGCCCACTGCCCCCCATCAGTGTTCAGCCAAGTTAAAAGTCATAGGGACATTTAAAACCACGCTGCCCACAGGGCCCCTTGGAGCACAACTCCAATATTTTCACCTCAGACACCACTTCCACCTCCCTCAGCTCCACCAAGACTGGCTGTGCCCCTGAGAAGCCCCAGCACTGCCAGGGAACGAGCAGAGGGCAGCTTTGAACACAATTATTACACTTTTCTTCACATAGGAAAGGGGGTGTTTTGCCCAATAGGTGGGATTTGATAACTAAGGAAGGGAGAAGTACAACTACGAGGTTAAAACACAGCAGCACCTTATTCTGATAGTGACTAAGTAGAACTTCACCTCACTTTTCACCATCTCACTGCTGGACACAACTAATTTCATTTTTAACAGACAGATTGGTAGAAGCTGCTATTAATAAACTAATTTGAAAATCTGGACCACAGCTGTTTTCCTTAAAAGAAATCAATGGCTATATCCACTAAAGTCATTGTAGAAAACAGTAGGAGCTTCGACTCACAGCACAGTTCTCCAAAGACACATTCCCAGGCTGAATCCCTGTGGAGCTAATGCTGGACTGTGAAGGTAGCACAAGGCACACTGATGTATTTTGGTCACTTTATTAAATGAGATATTAAATAGTTTAAGTTTCAACTACTAAAACAGCACTTTGAATGGTGAAAACACAGATAGTATATTGTCATACTTGAATGCTTCTTCTCTTTTAAAAACACTTTTCCAGTCCTTATATATATTACAAAACAGCCTTATAGGAAGAGGGGACACCTTCTCTATAGCACTTAAGATATTTAATACAGAACTGAAAAGCCATCTAATAGAAACAAAGGCAAGTCTTCACAGCTGTATGATTTCAGCAGCCAAAGCTGGTTGATGGACTGAAACATTACTATACAACTGGGACAAAACATATACAATATCACAATACTAAGCAAAAACGCTTTACATCCAAAGGAATAAACAGGTTACAAAATGTGGATAATTTAGCAGGCAAAACTGTATTACAAGCAACATTTTTATTTGTCATCTTAAGCCATTTTTATCTAGTTAAAACATCTAAAACAAATATAAAAATGAGCCTTTTATTATCTTACTGATGTATGTTCTGTCTTTAAGTACTGGTTAAAGCCTGATGTTATACTCAAAGCACATCGTTATGCAGCTAAAATGTCGAGTGAGAAACGTAAGCAAAGTGGTCCAGGTTTTACTTCAATGCTTATCTCGGATTCCTTCTTGTGCATTAGTCTTCTGTTATCCATAGGTTTGTCCAGGATGAAATAAAATGTGCCTTTCAATGTTGCCTAAAACTTCCACATTTAAGTCTTTGAGTTACTGTAAAACTCCATTTAACATTCCCAGGTTTGGTAGAAATTACTTCTCTTATTCACAACACGTAGGAATATCGGTGACTGTTGCCCAGAGTACATTTGCCTTCAAATGTTTGTCTCAACGTCTCACTTTTGTCTCTTCTAGTGCCAGCACGTCTCTCTTTGCTCCCTCCCCAGATCAGAGTTAATTGTAGGGCTGGCAGAGCACTAGAACACACTGAGGGTCTTTCCTGGTATCTTGTCATCAAAGAGTCCAAGACAGAAACTTGTCAGCTGGGTTTGCAGCACCCAACCAACCTCTGCCCACGTCACAAACCAAGTGTCAGCCACACACTGACACATCGTGGAACATCTGCATGTTTAGATGCAAAACTTGTCCATTCAGGGCAAGAACTCAAACTCCTGCAAGGAACTTCCCAGAAACCAAAATGCTTTTAGTTCATGCCAGCATCAGAAGAGTTCAGCACCATCCAGAGCCACAGCCTCCATCCATTTCCAGAGCCCTGTGCTGTCCACACATCACCACCTCCATGTTCCTGCCACTTACTTGTGCCCCCAGATTATCAACAGGGTTTTTTGGGGGGTAAGAAGCAACCAAACTATGAAAAGTAAAGCCCTATTTGTATTTAATAAGAACTTCACAAGCACAACAAGTGTGGGCAAAGAGAGTGATAATGGTATAGAATAAACCCGAAATTTATCTCTGGCCTACATTAAAAAAAAATACAATACAGAACAAAATCAAAACCAAAATCTCTTCGTGTCCTAACCCATGTTTTCACACAACCGAAGGGATGGGGAGGAGTGCATAACCACACTTCTATCAATAAAGCAATTTCATGCTCCTGGCAGCTCTAGGAGTTGCTACAGCCCTTTCTCTGTATGGAATTTCAATTGGCAATGGTTGTGCCACGTTAAAGGGGGTTCTCTGACAAGGTCTGACCCTGGCCACCATCACCATTCTACCCCCAAAAGCCAGGATTGAATTGTGTTGGCCTGTCCCCCATCGCCGGCAATGGGAGGAGACAGAAGCACCAGCGTGAAGGAGTGACCAGAAATGTGCTTTGTGCTGGACTCCAACCTCAAGGAAAAGCATCTCCCACATCACCAGCTGCTACTCCATCACATGGAACTGAAAACAAGAAATGGCAGCAGACTGGGGAAGGCCCAGTCATGTTTAAGGCTGGATGCACAGTTCCCTGTGCCTCAGAAGGTTCAGAGCAGTAGTAATTACGAATATTGCACTCAGTTCTGTTTCAGAGAGTATTTTCAGCTCCTGTTCCATTCAGCAGAGATGACCCATGAAGGAAATTAGACTATTTCTGTAACAACGTTCCCACTAATAGAAAGAAATGAGTAAGCAGAAAAATATTCCATAATTTGAGGAATCAACTCTAATCAAGAACTCAGCTGTTTACAATTCACATATGTCAGACTGAACATACAGACCTGCAGTCCTTCCTAAGCTTCCCAAAGCTTTGCAGCCATGAAAAGCAAGCGTAGGAGTTTAGACAGGAAACCTGTGGAGATGCTACTGTAACAGGAGGACTTGTTTTCACTGAAAACAACTTGTTATCTCCTGTACTCAACATATGTAAGAAGATTCTAGGCAACATCACTGACAACAGGGAAAACATCGTGTCCTATTTAAACGAAGCTGAAACACTAATATGGAACATGGCATTTAAGGGGAGCAACCAAACTATTCTTTTTAATTTTTTTTTTTACAGTTGAGTTCTGTTAGGCCATTGATTCCTAAAAAAATAAAAGTTCTTTCTCTGATTTAACAATCCTTTAGGCTTTTAGTGCAAAATCACATTGATTTCCCTTGGGAAGGCCCTGGATTTTTGCCTCTCATTGGGGGTGGTGCTCGTTGTAGGGGTGGTGGCTGCATCCCACCAGACACTGACTGATACATTCCTCTCACATCTATGCCTGGGTAGCTGGAAGGATTCATGATCAAATTTGGAGGCTTTGGCATCATGAGGTGGCCCATGGCTGCTTGCTGGTAGGACATCTGCTGCTGCTGCTGCTGGTTGTACTGGTGCTGGAGCCGCCTGTTCATCAGGATCCTCTGGACACAACCGATTAACTGTGGAGGGAAAGCAGAGCTGGCTGAGTGCACCACCCGTCCCCCTGCTCCCAGGATCAGGTTCAGAGCTGAAATCAATTTGTTAGGGACAGCATGGCTGGAGGAAAAAGCCCCATTGTTATCACCATCCCTAATGTGATGGCATTCAGCAGCCCATTACTGGAGAAACCATTTAGTAACAGCATTTAGGGCTCAGTTCTCCCGAAGACTTGGCTATTGTGTTGCAGGCAGCATTTCGGTGAGTTTCCATGGCCACATGTACTCTACTGTGAAATTATTCCCAGGTATAAGTTACATCATCATTTGTCAGGTACCATTCATCTTCCCTTTGAAAGTCCCGCCTGTGGACTGTCAGTGTTTGTTTGCCTTAGAGAAAACTCTTCCCTCTGACATCATCTGGGCAACTTTCAGATTCTGCAAAGTAATTTCAAGCTAAAACAACATTACCCACACTTTCTAAGATGTGTTTCCTAAGTGGCTGGCTGAGCTCTGGGAATCAGATTTCTCTTTACGCCTCATGACCTCGCAGCAAAGCACTTCAGCTCAAAAACCTGGCGAGTGCTTTTTTATGAACTTCTCCCATGTCTCCTTCACTGAGGCTGAGCAATGAACCCCAGCACGCTGCTGACCATTCTGTGAGGGATATTTATGTGCCTAAACAGACACTTGTAGCTCAGGAATGAGCACACACAAGATCCTCATTCAAACACTGACAGTAGGTAAATAAATGTAAGATCTTTTACCATCTGCTGTTTCCCGAGGACGTCGTTGTAAATGGCTTCTCTGCGCTTCACATCCAGCTCCTGGCTCGCCTGTCTGTTCAGGGCCAAGGCCTGCACCTGGCTCTCTGTCAGGGTTAAGTTTTCTTTCCACTGAAAAGCAAAAAAACCCAAAACCTTCTTGGCACTGGTGGTTTGAACAAAAGCCTGATGGTAATACAGGCACAGTTGTTTGCATTTGCACCAAGAGTTAAACCAGCCCAACTTCCAGTCAGTGCAAAACTGCTTCACCACAACCAGAACTAGGAGTTATTAGTTCTTCTAACTGTCCACAAAATCCAATAACTACTTGCCTGTAATTGCTATTCTGATTTCTAGAAAAGCAGCATTTTCACAGCAGGGCAAATACTTACAGATCTGAACTGCCACTCCTGTAAGGCTCTGTGCCAGCTAAACACCACCAAGGGTTACTGCAGGGATAAAGGTCACTACCAACTGGAAATGCTGCTCATCAATAATGCAATTCATTAGCCTGATGACCATTTGCAGCAGCAATAGCTTTGTTTGATAATGTTTAATGTTTTCTACTCCTGATCTGAGCCCAGGGTTACCCACTGCACTCACAATGGATGAAATGATGTCTTCAAGGGGCTGGATTCTTGCTGCAGCCACACTGTTGGTTGCTTCCACCACCTTCTCTCTTCCTTGATTAATGAGGTCCTGAGAAAACACCAGAACATCAGTTATAAAGCACAGAACCACCAAACACATTTCTTCCCCAGCCTTCTTCATCTTTCTCTTGTACATACCTAGACTTCAATTGCCTTTCTGCTCTCAATATGCACAAGTCAATGAGTCTAAGCTGCCACCCATCTGAATTTCAGCACAGAGTAGTTGAACAACATGTATAAACCTGGCAATTTGTAGACAGCATTTGTAAAAACCTATTTTTGTAGCCACAGGTTTTCAGACCAGCACAAGGATGCTAAAAACCCACGTAAATTTTCTATCATACAGACTTGAAGATTACAGTTACAGTTTCAAAAGTGGTAATTAAAGTCTGCAAAGAATGCAGGTGAGGCTCCAGAATCCCAACAGTCTGCCTAGGTATAGGTTTATATACATAAAAGTTAAATTTCAATAAAGCTACATGCAAAACTCCCCTCCCAAACCTCTAAATCAAAAATATAAAGTTATTTCAGACTGACATCCACAATTTGGGACAGAAAACCCCTGCAGCAACACAGGCACGTTGTGCTCCTTACCTCCAGCTGTTGGTTGCTCATTGCTGACAGAGCACCCAAATTGTAAGGAATATAAGTCTGAGAGCTGAAATTTGTGGGCATTGTGTTGGTCCCTGTTGGCATGTTGAAACGCATGGTCATGCCCTGGAAAACACAAAGTGCACTTGTCACTAACTCTGATCATTCTGTAATAACCACACAGCCAAAGCAGCCCCTAACAGGACCTGAACATTGATCATGGAGGTTTCCAAACCTCAGCTCAGAGCCCCATTTCACTCACAGAGGAATCCAAGTCTTGAATAATCTCCGAGTTTAGCTTGTCAATATTTGATACATAAATGACCACAGCTTATTAGGACAGCTGAAGTTGGTTAAGAGAATTTTTTATATTGAAAACCCACTGCTTAATGGTGAGTTTGACCAGCCTGTAATGAAATTCTGAAGAAGTAAAATGCAGTTTATTAGCAGGAATGTAATGCTCACTGCCCATTTGGATTTCTCATAGGACAATTTCAGATTTTACTCTTCATCTCCCCATTTCTTTTCCCTCCCCAAACCTTTTCATCAGTTCACTCAAGGTGGTGTGTGGCAATTTACACACCCACTTTTTGTACTTTTAGTGGAAGGCTTTTGAGGGTGCCTGACCCACTGAAATTCAAAAGGTAATTTTGGGTAACACCAACAAATCTGAAAGAGAATTTCAACCTTGGTGGCATCTCATTAACTTCCCTTATGACCTTGCCAAGGGTAAAGGCACAGATTTTGTTTTAGCACTACAAAGAGCTTTGGTGCACCCCACACACCCAATGAGTGGGGCTAAACCACCATCAAATGTATCTGACAAAATAAAGGGCATGGGCCAACAAAATGGGAGCAGGATTCCACATTATTTTAATTTCAGTGATTTCTGTTGTATTATTAAATATTATTTTATATGTTAATGTGTGTATTAGCTAAGGAAGGTAACACTGTCACACAGAGCCTCTCACAGGGACACCCTCAAATGGGAAAAGAGAGATTACACAGGACATCAGTTGAGTTTTATCATAAATTAGAAAAAAAATGCAGGTGTAAAAGTAACTTGTAATTAAAGTAACAAAGCAAACACACAGAAAGAACCAGCATTGAAGGAGCAAAAAAGACACAGTATCTCCATTTTTCCTATGTCAAGATTTGTTTTACATATTTATTTCTTGGTCTATAACAAAATTTAATTATTCAAACTGAAAAGGTAATTGTGACTCTAAAAAAACCTGGAAAGGTTATTTTCATATATATAAACCAATTAAGCAGCTTTACCTTCTTTTCTGCTTCATATTCTGCCCAGGCTGCCTTCCTCTCTTCTTCAGTGAGTTCCTCTTCCTCCTTATGGTCCAGGAGTGAATCATGCTCGTGGTACCCAACTATGTACTCCTTGTTGATCTGGAGCAGCTCTGCCAGGATCGTGTCCTGTTCAAAGGAGGTGAAGGAGGAGTCACTCAGCAGCTCTGCCCTGTTTGCTCCCCGTGTCCCCCCTCCTGCTCCTTCCCCATTCCACACACAGCAGCTCTGAGCACTCCACAGCACAATGAAACTTGGAAATCATTTTAAAGTACAATTTTCCTCGGAGGGAGAGCAATTAACAATCTGTTGCAGAGATGACAATCCAGTCACTTAATAAACCACAGGAATGCACTCAGATTCCACAACAATAAATGCACCTAAATAGAATGGAAAGTGCTCAGTGGCTTTTCCTTTGCTTAGGCTGGAGAACAGACAGGACCCATCAATAAATCTGCATTTATTAGACATAAACAATATCTCTACAGCTTTCCAACACTGAGCAGTACTTTGGGACCAACATCTCCAATTTTTTAAAACCTTTTTGTCTGAAAGTCAAAGCGATGCTGCAAAAGATGAAGAAAAAGATCCCTACAGGACTATGAAAAACTGCTCCTGCTGCACCTCAGGATCTCCTTTTCTAAGGTCATTTCTGAAGAGGGCTTTTTACATGACTTGTGTGGCTGATGAGCTTCATGAATTAAGGAAGCTCCAACACACCTCAGCATTCAGGCTAAAATTCCTACTATGAAACCATCACTGAACCACTCCTGAGAGGAATGACAGTCCAGGAGCTCCCTAAGCCCCTCCAGCCCCAATCCTGCCCTCACTGTGCCAGGGTTTGCACAAGCAGGGCCCCAGCCTGTCCCACCCTGGCATTTTATAATCACAGCTGAATGAACAGTGACAGAAAAGCAGCACCCACAAACAAGCAGATTTTTGCAGCCACTCTGGGAACTGCTGTGGAAATTCTGACCTATCCCAGCAGCTACACAAAGCTGTTTGTTTCTGTGTGTTTGAAAAGTTAATTACATGAAGCAATTATCAATCAGCTGCTCTTTGTCCCACCCTTCTCCTTCGTGGTGTGAATCATTGTCTTCATCACCAGCTCCTCCCAGCACAGCCCTCCAAATGGGCTTTAAATTACATCCAACTGGGTGTTTGCTTTTCTTTGGCTAAACTTTATTTTGTGTTGACTTTAATGATGGGAGCCCGAAAACAGGGATGTGAAATAAATTCACATTTAATTCAATCTTACAATAAAAAATACAATAAATTCACCTTTCACATAAAAAAACTGTCAGAATAATTATTTCTTTATATTTGTTTAGCTTGTTGATAGAATAATGATTATCAGTTGGTTTGTAAACTTTAGGAAAAAAATCCTGGTGATCAATGAAAATATTAAATGAGACTGAAAAATGGGTTTGAATTTTAGAAAAGACATTTGTCCTTTTAAAATCCTGATGGAAATTAAATGCTATGGAGAGATCAGTGTATTAGAAAGGAAATCTTCCATGAAGGAATGCAAGTCATGCTGTAATTCACAGGTTTTTCTCAACCAGCTGAACATTTAATACTAAAGTTAAAAATAAAAAAAAATTAAATAAAAAGCAAATTCTCCTAATCCTGAGATCAAAATTCACAAAGTTGTCCCTGAGCATGGAACCAAAGTAAATCACATGAGGTAGTATATAATACTGATATACCATATCCAATTGAATCTGAACTATGATTTTAATCTGCTTTTCCAATCTGCATTGCATGACCTCAACTCAGCCAAGTTTTCATCTCACATCAATAAAAAGGTGACTTCAAGTTTAATTCCCTGAGTGAGGAATGGGGAATGAGCCCAGGGCAGGGGTGCAACAGCAGGGCCAGTTCTGAGGGACACCCAGTGCCCCAAGATTGCCTTTGTCCACTTCATGTTGACTGTACTTAACTATTCTGTCAATTATCATGTCCTTATTTCTATACTTCAATACAGCCAAGGTGACAAGTGAACATTCAGCCTTAAGACACCTTTTTGGACTGAAATTCCAAAGCAGCCCTTTCCAGCTGGGCAGGGATAGGGGATGAATGAAATCAAGCAGTAGAAATTAAGAGTAAATAATTCATGTCAAGCACATTGATATTACAAATATTCTGTTAACTCCAAGTATCTGCAGATCTTTTCTTATCTCTACTAATGGTCCCCACAGGAAGTTGAACAGGAGACTAAAACCCAAAAAGTCCTGGCAAAGGAAAACATGGATTAAGGTGATTCTTACCTCCAGTGCCACCCCACAGATGTGTTTTCACAAACTCAGGCTGTGCTGGGTATCACCAGCACCCACTCAGATGCTAATTTGAATTTTCCAGAGTTTCATGCAGTAAAACTTCTATTCATTCAACATGAATATGAAAAAAGTGTCTTTGTTTGTTCTGACTTAGAAGTTGGGTCTTTTAATGAGTATCTTTCTCTCACAGTATCAATTAACTGAGGGGAAACTCCTCCCCCAGCTCATTATAGATCTGTTGTATTAATGCTGGATTTTATTGTGTTTCCTGCTATCCAAGCAGCCGGCACTGCTCTACACTAAAAATTTAAACAGACCCACGTTGCTTTTAAAGCACAAAACTCCTGCAGACGGCCACCACTCACTTTTGGCAGCATGGGGGTGTCCCTCTTCTTCTTTTTCTCCGAGTTGGGGTCGTCCAGCAGGTCAGGCTCGAAGGTGTAGAGCTCGGTGAGCTCGTTCATGGTGAAGTGCCTCTCCACCTGCTGCTGGTCCACCACCCTGAAGGACAGCGACTGCTTCGTCACCTGCCGGTCGTAGATCTTGTCCTCCATGGTTCCCTGAACACAGGAGACACAGACACACCCACTGCTCACCCACAGCAACACTGACAGGTAGGAAAAAAGCTAAAATAACAACCCAGCTGTTCTGTTTGCCTTGGTTCCCTGACCCCTTTCGAGCCCTTTGTTCGCTGAGCAATAAAAGAAAAAAACCTGCTGGAAGCAGCACAGCAGGAATTGTGCATGGGACAGATGTCATCTAGCTGTTGGCTAGAGGAAGAAAATTGGTCTTTTAGTGGTGTTTTGAAGAGATCCAGTTTTGCTTCAATTCCCCAAAGTAGGATTATGACCAAAAAATGGCAATTTTCACAGCATGTACCTTATTTTGCTGCTTTGAGCAGCCTGTAAAAAGGAAAACAGATACCATATCACTGTGGTGGAGGGCAGAGGGGAAGGGAGGCAGTCAACTCTAATTCACCACAGCTGTGTACAAAAAAAATCAGATCTTTGATGAAAAAAAAAGGAAAATTACTTATTTTTTGAAAAAGAAGATGACTGAGAAGGACAAGAACAGCACAGCCTGTTCTGAACAGCCTAATTTAAAAAGGATATCAACAGTTCAAAAGTGCACAGAGAAAACTACAAAAATAAACTGAAGCCTGAAGAAAAACCCCATTTCTGACAGTAACGTGTCCCAGACAAGGATCTGCTTCAGCTGGATGGAAAGGTGACTGGATCAAGGGTAAAGTGGTACTGGGAAAGGTCTCCAGGCTCCTCTGTCACAGCTGAGGAACCAGCAGCTGAAGCAAGGCACTTCTAACACAAATAATGGCCTTACATAAAGCACAGATCAGTGCCCACCTGGGTTATTACCCATCTTTAACATCTGGAGGGTGTGATATGAGTTTTCAAGTCAGGACTGGATGGCTTTTTATAAAATTAACTTGCATCCATGTGGTTTCACTGCAGCTGGACCATCAGGGTCTGCAGAAGGAGCTGCCCTGGGCAGGGCTATTCCCCAATACCACCACCATCCTCTGCAGGGACTGCTCCATTCAGGGCTTTTAGTGATGTGCAAATTAAAAAGGCTGAGACTCCTGCTCTGAGTCTGGGTCTGGAGATGTGAATCCCTGCTGGAATTCCAGAATTTTGGTTACACAAAGTGTCAGACAAGGGGGACTTTGCAGGGTAATGTGTAATTTATTTGACCATTCTTTCCTTTATGAGCTGCTTTTCAGTGACCAAATGCTGCTCCAGATCAGAGCTGGAATATGTCTGCATCACCTTGGGTCACTACCTAGTCCAACTCCAGCCCAAACAGGGACAGTCCCCACAGTGCCAGCTCCCAAATTTGACTGCAGGATGAAACAGCACAGAAACTGCAGGCAGAAACCTACCTGAGCCAAAAACCTGTACACAAACACAGGCTTGTTCTGCCCAAAACGATAAACCCTGAAGATGCTCTGGATGTCATAGGAGGGGTTCCAGGAGGCATCAAAGATGATGACTCTGTTAGCAGCCACCAGGTTTATTCCCAAGGAACCTGCTTTGGTGGATATGATAAACAAGCGGCCTCTGGAACAGAGAAGAGTTGCAAAATTGGAGTATTTTGGAAAATAACTGTTCCTGTGTTGCTGGGTTACTGTGGAGCTGTTCATATACTGAAGTAACTCTAAAACTTCATTAAAATAATATATTAAGCATAAAACAGATGCAGATTTTACAAGGACAACACTTTTAGCAAAACATAAACTCCCAAAAATACACATCAAGGCCTTTTGCAAATTAGCTGTTAACAAAAAAACTGGCAGGGAAGAAAAAACTTTGGGGTTTGCATTTTCAAGCTCTAATGAAATTAGTTACATCAAATTAAACCATAATTTTAAACAGACAGATTCCATGCCATTGAAACTCTTTCCTGGCCTGCCAACTTTCAGGGTAACTCTCAATGACACTGTCTCTTTGATATACCTGGGTTTTATGAGATTCAAAAAATCTCACTCAGGTTCACCCTGGAACCAGCTCTTGACAGACACCTGACAGAATAAACTATTTACAAGTCTTAACACTGGATTAGTTCACTTCTTTCACTTTTTTTCCCCTGCACATTATAAATGACTGCACCATGATTACATACTTCGTTTTTTAAACAAATCTAGGAAGGTGAAGCTCCTTAGCTTCATTCAAAAACAAGTCTGTACCTCTCTATCTAAATCAGAGTTGAAAGTCCCATTTTGGAGGTGCAGTGGAGGGCTGGGAGCCAATCCTGGAGGCAGCTAGAAGAGTTAATTTGCTCCTGAGTGGCCCAGGGACTGAAGCCTCCCGGCCACACCCTTCCTAGGGCCTTGTATCCTTGAAGTAATTGCACTAAAAACTCTGTCTCTGAATTAAACTGGTTCCAATCTAAAGGACAATGGAAAGAGCAAGGAAAGTCTGCTGAGTACAGTGGGATTCATGGGAAATCAGTAACACATTGCTGCACGTTTTCTGTGTGAGTTCTGATCATCATTTGCCTGGTCCTGAGGTCATTGAGCTAATAAAAGTAATAATAAACAGGGAACAAAAGAAAGAAAAGGGGGAAATAAAGCAAATGTATCTCAGGAGATCTCACCTCACATTAGTTTCATCATTAAACTCCTCAGCCCATTTCTTTCTGGACTGAGCTGTGGTTGAGCCATCCAAACGATAATAATCAATATTTCTGAACCATTTTCCTTCACCTGTAAATGCAACAACCAAGTTATGAAAATGCTGATAGTGTAAATAACCAGACTGGTAACCAATTGGAATCGAAAGACAGAAATTTATAATTTAAAAATTGTTCTGAGGTTAAATTGAAATTTAAGTATTTGAAAATACCTGAGGTTTTTTTGGCAGAGGGAAGTCCTCTTATTTTTCACACTTTCTAGCTGTATTTATAAATTTGCAGAGCTATGCCTTAACTTGGAGCCAAAGTTAATTTTAGAAGTCCCAAAGATGTTGTTACATCTCATCTTTAGGTGCTGTAGCACTAATTGCACTTTTCCAATAGAACCAGGTCGGTTCACATTACAGCACCAGTGTCAGTCAGCCTCCCACACAACCAGCACTGATAAGTCAATGATCCAAAGGAGATTTCAAAGGTCAAACTCATTTTGAAATCCAGCAAAATCTTTGGGTTTAATTACCCTGTGAGTTACAGCAACTTGTCAGACTGGGGGAAAAATAACTACAGCTGATGGGGGATTTTCTTCTCTCCCCAGTTCACAGTAACCTTCCATCCATCTTCTCTGGTCATTAAGGTGTATGCACACAAAATTAATATCCCTGAGCCATCAATCATAAAGAAATCAACGTTTTTGGGAGCAGAACTGCTCAATTCAATCCCTCATGAGAGGCAGATTGGTGAGATGTGTCAGGAAAGGTGAATCTTGCCATGCTACATCATCTAATTGCTGGCCAGAACTACCACCCAGAAGTCTTAAAACATTATCTCAGAATAAAGGCACAACTCCTCAAAAAGACTCCTTGTAATGTCTGAGATGGCAAAATTCAGACTAGGAAGCAAGAGGCAGGAACAATAAATCTGTGAGAGACAGATACTGGAGATCTGCAGTCACCATCACTGAGCCACTTTTCCCTTTTCTCTAAGTGCAAACACGTGGAAGAGCTGGATGAGAGACTGGAAAGGAAAGGCAGACTTGAAGGAATTCTTCAATCCACATGTCCTGGGAATGAAACTCTGGCTAGGGAGGAGCAGCATCCTCAGGAGCTCTGGGAACTCCTAGTGAGAAATTCCATGCCATCTGATCACCACCAGGATAATAATTCAATACTTGCTCCCTATGAAATCCATAAGCCAGCCTGCTGCTGTACATGTAAAGTCTGAATTCACATTTTCCATATTTTGCATGCTGGTTTAAAGCAGCCTCATTTTCCTTCACTTTCTCTCTCCCAGGAGGAAGGATTTGCCATGCACCAGAATTTAAAATCCTTTTTGTGCAGAATTCAACAAAATGCCTTCTCTCAGATGTGAACATTTAATCTGCTTAGGCTGCAACGAGCATGGATGATAGAGTGAAATCAGAGTCCAAAATGGGCTCCTCCAGGGGAGCCCAATAACCCTGGCAGCCTCAGGGACAATCCAGAGCATGCAATATCCCACTGAAAACACTGATTTCAAACCCATTCCCTGGGCATGACTAGAGACTTGTGAAAGAGGTCTGAGCACTGCAGCTGTTGAAGGAGACACTCACCTTTGTAGATGGAAGGCTTATCTCTATCAGATTTCTCTCTGTTAGCCAGTTCCAGGAAATCTTCTATCAAATCCAGAGATATTAGGGATTGGCTGAACACAAGGCTGAAAAAAGAATTTATTTATTTATGAATTTATTTTAATTATTATACTGCTTCATTTTTGTTCCTTCCTCCCTCTGATACAACCTTTGAGACAAACAGAACAAGTCTTCAGTGGAGCACATGTAGGTGTGGGAAGATCCCTGAGAAAAATGAGTGCACCATGCTTGTCTGCTTCAGAAAACAGCTCCAGCAGAATGAAGAGGGGATGGGGAACACTGTCAGACTAATACATTCCTAAATATTTAATAACATGTCCAGAACTTACACTTTGTCTCCCAGCTCCTCTGCCATTCGAAGAATTTCAAAGAGCAGCACCATTTTCCCAGAATGTTCCAACACTTCAGCATCTGCATCAGTGACAAAATCTTTGTACCAGTCTGGAGCTGGGCTACCAGGATTGGAAGAGGATGTAGCTTTGCCTATTAAAAAAAAAAAAAAAAAAAAACGAAGAAAAATAAATAAAAATCAAATATGATAAGAGTGACTTCATTTAAAGGCTTTGAATGTCTGAACTACAGAATTGTTCCTTCATTATTAGACTACACTGGTATGAAAAAGAGTTAAAGAGGCAAAGAAAAAACAGCCTTTGCACTGTCAGCAATTGCAAGAGTTAAATATGTAAGGGATGCAGAGACAAACTCATCCTGCCTATAATGTAAGTCCTTTAACACAATTAATCTTTGTGTGTAAATGTTTTACATACACACCCTCCACCCCTTACACATTTATAAAACGTCATTGGGATGGGGGCAAAAAAAAGACTTCTCACCTGAACTGTCCCAAAATTTTTAAATTACTTATGGAAAGAGATTAGACACACATGAAATAACACAATCAGCAAATTATCTCTGTGATACCAGATACAGACAAAAGATAGATTTTTACAGGGAAAAAACCCCAAAATTAAGTGTGCAGCTGTAAGAAGTCTGAATAACAACTTTAAAAGTTGTATTCCTGCTGCAATGGATCTGCTTGCTCAGCATCCAATTCAAATTCCAGATGCAACAAATTATGACAGATATATTTCCTAATCTTCCCATTAATCTTCTAGGTTATATAACTTGGTACTTCTGAATTAAACCATTTCACTGCCTCAAAACCCGTGAGTTCTAAGTTGACACCCCTTGTTTATATAAATACATAATTAGATAAATACATAATTAGAAGTAGCAGGAGCTGTAACTATGAATTAAGGAATTTGCCATTCTGCCATAGAGCAGAATTCCTGACAGCCCTCTCAAATGCCTTTTTGCAAAATGAAGCTGCCTCACGTTTTCATCACTCTGTGTTATCCTCACCTTCATCTGACTTTGTTGATGCAGGGTTGTTTGTAAGATCTTCTACATTTCCTTCCCCACCTCCACGAGATCTTGAATTCCAGACTTTAATGACTTCAACATCATTATCACTGCCACTCCCACTTGAGCTACACTCCTTCTTTGCCTTTTTCCCCTTGGATTTTTTTTTCCTAAAAAGCAACATTATACACCTCGTTATTTTTTTTAAGTCCCCCTGAATGAAAACATGTTCTAACAGATGCATAAAATACAAAAGAAACATTCACTTTATAGAAATCAGTTCTGTAAGGGAAACAACACCAACAAACGAAATAAAAGGTCAATTACTTTGCATAATCATCAGAACTTAAGCTCATGGAAGTTTCATCAGAATCTGAAGCTATGAAGTCATCCATGCTGTCTTCATCAAAATAGCCCTCAAAAGAGAAAAAACAGAAATTATTAACTATGTTCACCCAGAAGCTTTTATTAAACCTTTAGCCATCTGCTTACTCTTCATTTAAACAATGGCAAGTCCTACAAAGGCCTGGCCTTGCAAAATGTTTTAAGAATGACAACATACCCAGCAAGAAAAATATGACAAAACCAGCAGCAAAATGACCCTGCAGCAACAAAGATTTCCATTAATTTGACGAAACTTTACCTAGAGTTTGGCAGAGCTTATTTGGAAACTTCTCAAGTGAGAGTATTTTGATATATCTAATTTACCTTATTTTCTTTGCTAATATAGTCCAGCTGCAAACACCAAGGGTGAGTCCAGATTCTGCTCAACATCTGGAAATCCTGGAACAGTTTAGCTCCAGCTTTGCCTCTTCCACCTTCATTGCCACCACCTACACCTGACAATAAAGTTCAGGTTTTAGAGTGAAGCCTGAAGTGAGTTTGCCACACTCAGCTCCCCTTTGAAGAGCCTGGCAGTGCAGATCTGAGTGTTCTTTCCAGCTGCACATCATACTGCAACATCTCTTGTAAAAGAGCTCAAATTACTCACTCACAGCCATTTTTTTCTCCTAGTTAAAGTTGTCAAAATTAGATTTTCTCTTTTTTCTTGATAATGAGAAACATGATTATATTTTTTACATAAAAGCACATTGCTCCCCAGTACAGGAACGTACACAAATCCTCTTAAAAAGACAGACATGTCTAGGTTTTGTAAAAGCAGCCCAAGGTGGAAAACACAGAATAACATTTGTATTTAGGCCTCAACGAATCGAACTCATCTGAGCTAACTTTAATAACCTGCAATGCTGTAGAATAAAAACCTACAAAACCCCAGCCTGCTTGTTTGTTGACCAAGCACTTTAGTGCATGGGACTAGGTTCAGAAAGTTGATTTTCACCTACCAACTGTGGCAAAATGTCCCTCATTAAATGCCATCGGAGCTGCAGGCACATACCTGTCAAATGATCCAGGTAATACTGGTACAGCTTGCACTGGATCGGGGTCATCCGCACCTCGAGCACGTACTCGTATTTGGGGGGCAGGAACTTGGTTAATGCTGTGTAATCCTTCCTCTGCAATTTTACAAACAGTGCTTTCACTCACAAGAAACATGGGAACGACTCCTGACAGCTTCAGGACTTGTGGTATCTCAAAGGACAAAGCACTGTGGATCACTGGTGGTGACTGTGGTGCTTTCCAGCCCCGAAGGAGGAAAATCAGCCCAGGAAATGCAATTCACTGCAGGGACCCACCTGTCCCACTCAGGTGCTTCTCAGGCCAAAGTCTGTGACCTCCTAAGTCCTTGCAAAGTTCACTGCAACTCCAGGAGCTGCTCTGGGAACTGCTTTTGGGCTTTTTTTTTAGAATACTAAAATCTGATTTGACTTCTTGTTTTGGGTTTTTTTGACTCTGACACTACTCTGTCTCTCCACTCACCCAGTGACCACAAGAGAGAGCTGCTCTCTATGGACAGGATCTGCTGTGCACAGGGCTGGGAGAAAATCCATGTGGGCTCCATCCAAAGCTTTTTTTATCTAAGGTGTATAAAGTAACAAGTTCTTCACCCTTTTCAACCTCAATAATTTTCCTTCTCTCTTGTTTTCCATTGTTCTTATTCTCACAGATCAGAAAAAGAAACCTATTCAGAAATAACTGACAAACTATGGACCAGCAACTTTCTGTGCAGACTTTAAGGCATTTTTTTAAATGTTCATATGGAATTAAAGTAGAATATTTCAGAGCAACTCATGTCCTACTCTACATAAAAATGTTCTTGTCTCCCAGCAGGAAATACCTGTATCCTCTAATACCTGTATTTTAGAGTACACTGACATTTGGAGAAAAACTATGAAGTTTTTCTAGTCACAAATAATGCAGAGATCTAACAATCAAATAATTGTGAAAATAAGTGAAAATATTTAAGTTAAAAGATTTATGGAGCTCTCATATCAGAAGTTTACAGGCCTTGGGGGATTTCATCAGAGCGAGACAAAAATAACTCCTCTCCTTCCCTGCAGTTAAATGAAGTGATGAGTTGGGGACAAACTGCTCTCACCTGAACACAGCCAGCCAACATCTCATAGAGGATGTGAGCACGTTTCTTCATCACCCTGACATCCACCAGAGTGGAGTCTGCACACTGCCCATTCTGGATGGGATTGATGAATCGATTCCGGAATTCCTTAATTGAGCCCAGCAAATTCTCCTTAATGAAGTTAACCATGCAGTGATCTAGGAGAAACAGATCAGACTTGAGTGGTTCAAAATGGAAAGTACAGCACTGGGATTAATGCAAACAGAAAATGAATGTGTCACATCTAAATAGAGAATTCTAGCAGGCAGCTGCACTGTTTCAAATCCTTTTCTTCCAATCAAACTAAATTTATCTTCTATGGCTGACAGGCAGAAGTGTGCTGGAGGAAATAAAAGACAACTACTCACATTCTATAAGATTATTCTGCAGTGGTGTTCCTGTCAGAATTATTCTTCTCCTAGATCTAATAGAATTCATTGCCTTAGAGACAGCTGATGCTTCATTTTTCAATATGTGTCCTTCATCACACACCACGAAGTCAGGACCTGGAAAGAAACAATATTAAATCTCTCCAAAATATCTCATTGCCACAAAGAACCTGACAGCCTAAAGTATACAAAATTTGTTCTACCAATATTACTTAAGGGTTTTTTTAAACTCTTTTTTTATGTGTTTTATGGTGATATTTTTTAGCACTGATTGGGTTCTCACTCAGCCTTTGCACTCAGAGCAGCCACTCTGGTAAAATCAAGGCTGTTATTTTAAAGCTTTCATGGCAAGGATTAAACTCAGCTTTGCAGCATATTCCTGTTAAAATGTTCTATTCCTGCTGCTGCTGGCTGTGCATGGCTGCACTTCCATCCACCCCATCAAAACTCTGAAAAACTTTCTTCTCTCAGCTTTAGGCTGCCATCTACTGACACTTGGGCAATCCCAAAACACCCAAAAACCAGGTAACTGAAATTTTTCATGAAGGCAAGAGTATCACTAGGGGGACAGAGTGCAATCAGAAGTCTTAGACAATATAAAACACAACTAGATTTGATCTGAATTACAGACAAGTGAATTGCCACCTTGCAGCTGGAAGTCACCTCAGGAATGTCCTCAGCTTTCTTCCAGGAGATAAAATATCAGTCTGGTTTAAGTGAGCTGCACAAGGAATGTCAAAACCACACAGAACATTCCCACAGTATGCAAAGCAACTCTAATAATAAGATAAATAATACTCAACTTGGCAGAACAGACTTTCTCTTAATTGTTTTCAGACTTAGCACAATTTCTGGAATTTCTTTCCTTGAAAATGAAGTAAAAGATATTCTAGGATCCAAGTAGTAACTCAGAATAAATGTTTTACCAGCTCTAAACCTGACCTCAGTTCCAGCAGTCTCAACTCTGAAAGCAGCTCATGACAAGTTGCTGCACCTTGGAGAAAAGCCACCAGCTGGGTTCAGCAATTCAGCACTAAAAAGGCCAATATTTGAGGAGCAAAGGAGGATTTGTCAGCAAGGACAGTTTAACCTTTTATAATTTACTGAGAATATTTTGTCTCAGACTAAATTCAAATTGCCTCGTAAAGAATAAAATTAATTCTTTTAAAGAATAAAATTCATTCTAGGGCAGTGATCAACAACAGAGAATTAATTACACCTTTAACTACACAGACATACCAGTGCCAGTCACCTTAATCATGCCATTTTAAAGTGATTTAAAAGTGATTTGCATCTTGCACATGAAGAGAAAGGAATCATGAAGATATTTCATTCAAAGCAAAAAACCCAAACAAAACAAACCCCAAACTTCTGAAACAAGTCTAGAAGACAATTATGAAAATCCACTGCAAATGCACTTAGGCTTGTCCAAGCCAATGTATTTCTGAATTTTCCCACCTGCCACAGAAACATTTCCCCACATTATTTCATGACTTTTGTACCTTCCCAATTTTGACAGAATGAAAAACACTGAGTGTCTACACACAAAGCCTTCCTTTAATTTGAAGTTACCATGTCTAACAGTGACAGATCCTTTCTCTAGTCCTCATTTCATTAAAGACTGTGATTCATTCACAAGAAGTTAAAAGAAATTAAATGTAAAAAAACCACTTCAAAACCTGCTGTGTAAATGACAGTAAAAATATGAAAAAAGCCCAATCTCAGTACAATTATTCATGGTTTGTTTGGCAGAAATGCAGCACTGATATCTTGAACTAACATTTTGGCTGCAGTTCAGCAGCAAGGATTTTCATCCATTTGTGGGGTTTTCCCTTGTTCTTCCAAAACACAAATGCAAATCATTATGGACAGAACATTCCTCAAAATATGATAAAGGAATGTAAAGCTTAAAGGGACCTCAGGGGATCATTTAGATCATTTTCTCCATCTGAGATAAGGGTTATGAGAAAGGGACAGAACCTGACAGAAGTGAAGAAACTCCACAGCCTCTCTCTCGCTAAAACACTGTGCAATAATACCCAATTTGCTACAAATATGAATAAATCCTGCCCTTTCCTTTCTCCTAATCATGTCAAAACCAGCTGACAACACTCCTTTCATTAACCAGCTCTTAAATGGTGGAAAATTTGTCAGTTTGATTTTTTTCTAGGTTAAAAAGCCCTACTCATGCAATCCTTCCTCAAAGCCTTCATCTTCTCACTCTTCTTACTGTACTTGCACATGTTAATATACTGAAATACATAAAAGATAGATATATATAGATATATACCCACAGTTCTCCTGTGTGTACAAGAACTTTATACTACTGCCAATTTAAGAGAAGTCTCCAAGTTAAACAGTGCCAGAATTTTTGTTAGTAGGAACAAGAGAAAAAAAACCAACTTATTCAAGTGCTTCAAGCAGAACACAGCAGTGATCAATAACCAACAGCCCTTCAGCAGTGGCACAAGGCAGCCTGGAAACCCTGCATGTGTATAAAATCCTGCCATTCTTCCACAGAGCAGAGCTGGTTAATTAATGAAATCACTTCTCCACCCATAAACTTTGGCTAAACCTTCCCCCTCTGCTCCCCTTGACAGTGAAACACAGGATTCTCCTATACAGAATCTTATCCCAGCAGTATTCACCAGACACATCTCATTAAATTAGCACACAAATCCCAAATTTGCAGCTTTCTGGATGGGAGGTGCTCCCAGAGGTCAAGGTTTCCCTATTTCCATGGTTCTCTCCTGCACTGGAAGCTGCAACTGTCCAAGCTGACCCACCAAGTGCAAGAAACAAATGAGAATCTTGCAATGTACATTCAGCCAATCCAAATGGCTCCAAAAATTCATGGGGAAAAACACACAGACACTTCTGTCTTTCTACAATTAGTTAAAAAGGGGTGAGGCAACATGAAATGCCCTCAAGTTGTGCCAGGAGAGGTTCAGGCTGGATATGAGGAAAGATTTCTTCACTGAAAGAGTGATTAAGCATAGAAGGAACTGCCCAGGGAGGTGGTGGAGTCATCACCCCTGAAGTGTTCCAAAAAGGAGCAGACATGGAAGATCCTGTTTGCTTTAGTGGGCATGGTGAGCCTGCAGTCGACCTTGGAGGTCTTTTCCAACCTTAAAGTCTCCATGATTCTACAAAAATAATTAAGGAGTTATTTCAAGGCTGACTTTCCCAATGGTCTGATTGCACTCTAGCAACCAGTCCTGGAAGAGAACAGAACAGAGGCTCCATGTTCACATGGAATTATTCAAATCTGTGAGGGTCAATGCTTTCTAGCTTCCCAACTCAATTAAAACAACACAAATCCATGACCTAATCCCAAGCACTGCTCTGTCCCAGGGTCTGAAGAGGTCTGCAAGGAGAACAAGAACACAGCAGGATGTAAAAACCATGGGAGGGGACAGGCAAGGTTACACCAGCCACTGTCTCCTCCTAACATCTCCCAGCCCAGGATTTTTGGGATTACACAAACACAAATCCATCAAGGGACAATGCTGCTGTAAAGACACACGGTAACAACCTTTATGTTTGCACTCCCTTACATTTTCCACCAGGAAAAAAACCCACAAAAATCAATTACTGTGTAACATTTTATTTCATCACTGCAGGAGATGAGCCACTATAAATACAAAATTACTGCCCTGTCACCACTACTTTGAGACAGCAATTCACACATTTTCTCCCTTAGCTTTCACTTCCTTGATAATATTCTCAATAAATGCAATATCCTGAGACAATCAGATACAGAATAGCACTGACAGAACAGGGTCCCCCCTCTTTTTTGGTTTGTTGTTGGGCTTTTTTTGTTTCTAATAACTACAGCTTAGGTAGGAGGAGTCAAAAAAACCCTTAAGCAAGAAGTGCATTTCCTTCACTGCTTAAATAATGTGTGTGGAATCAACACATTATATATCAACAAAAATAGTTAAAATAGTTCATCAGCTGCTCTACTGGAGCTTCCCTGACTCCACAGCCATTGTTTGACTTAGTCAAACTGGCAGAAAATTAATTAACGTTTTAGCTGCTGCAACAGCCTTTCTGCAGAGCTGGAGATGCCAGTTGCACTTGGCCAATGCCAATAATCATGAAGTTATTTTTCCCCTTAGAATGAACTCTTCTGTCTGTTAGAGCAGAATTCACAGCTCTGCTTTAGTGGGAAACTTCACAAAATCAAGCTCAACAAGTACAATTACCAATTAGAAAGTGGGGAAAAAAAAGAAAATCAATCACACATTGTCAATGTAAAGTCCAGTCAGATAACTAAAATTCAAGAAAACCCCAGCTCCATTTACTCTGCCTTCCATACCTGCATTCTCAAGGAGAAATACCAACAGTACAGCAAAGCTGTAAAAACTTTTAAAACCAGTTTTTAAGACATTCTGCATAACCCTAATTATTTTCAGGTATCAGCTACCACTTCGGAATTTGTAGAGAAATTTTGCTATTTTGGTGAACCTTCCTGATCCTAAAATTTTTAGTCCTTTTTGGTGACCACCTGAGAAATCAGTTATATCAACTTGGAATACTTTCAAATGCTTCCATACATATTGACATAAGTTTGCTAAGTCCAGCCCAGCTCAAACCAGACATCTGTTTCTCAAGACTGAAAAAATAATAAACTGCTTTATCTGTATTTCCTTAATCAGCACTTCATTAACACTTGTTGTTTCACACTTCTAAGGTACATTGAATACTATTTTCATTTGAAGTTGCCTCCTCAGTGGTAGATTTCCATCAAGAACAAAACAGTGGTTGTAATAAATTAACAGATTAAAACAGCCCTGGGTCCCCAACAGACACCTCCAATTACTTTGCAAAGAAGGCAAAGCCAGCAAACAAAAAAACTTAATAAGAAAAGTTTCAAGAATATATTCCTTGTATTTGATTTAATAGAAAAGACTGTTACAGAAATCTATTTACAAAAGCAGATGGGGGAGATTCTGAACAAATTTCTCTAACACAGCAAAAGCCAAAAAAGAAAATCTGCTGAATCTTACCAACACTGTTTATTTCCTTTGCTCATATACATAAACCTGGAAGTCCAAACTATACAACCTGTATAAATTTTCACTTACCTGGGTCGACTAAAGCTTTATTAAATATTTCTTTAAGTTTTCTACTCTTCACATTCCTGCCTTGTGCCAGGTTTCGATACATCTCGTAGCCAATGATCATCACACCTCCCTCATCCTGCCAGTGCTGCAGCATGTAGCTCCTCTCCTGAGGCCTTTTCACAGTTGCCAGCTCATAGACCTTCCAAAGGGGAAAAGAACCCTTTAATTCCTCTTAAAATATTCAATAGTGGTCTAATTTTTAATAGTTCTGATACATTAATGCAAGTTATTCACATAGTTAAAGCACATTTCTTAGCTCTTATTTTAAGTGGTGGAGCTTCCCAATTATGCAAATCATCCAGTTATATCAAGAAGAATTCTAAGTCTCTTACATCTAGTTTTTCCTCATCTTCTAAACCTTCTTGCCATTTTTCAAACTCATTCAGCCAGTTCAAGGCAGTGTTGAGTGGACACACGACCAGAGCTGTCCGAAAATCCAACTTGTCACACAGCAAGACTGTGTGGAGAAAACTTACTACCTGCAAGAGAAAAAACAGGCAGAACACCAAATAAACACCAAGAAAGAAAGATAAATGCTATCTATTCAATTATGTAATTCAATTACCAACAAAAGTCACGTTTAAATATAGCTTTTGGTTAGACAAATAGAATTTTTGATGAAATTTTCAAACAGGTGTATTTGGAGTTCATACACTCCTTACTCTGTGTTCCATGGCTGCACACATCCTTCACATACTGAGATCCTTTTGAATTGCTGAAGGATTTCATCAAGAATCCCCCCTTGACATTTCACCAATCATTTCCATAAATTAAACACTTCTATCAGGTTGTTTTTAAGCTTTCTTCCAACATTTGTCCCAAACATAAAATAAATCCACGGTCACGTTTCTTAAAAGTGAACTTCAGTCTTAAAGCAGCTTCCCACACTTGTTTCAAGGTATTTCAAGGCAAATGCTCTCAGCAGAGCTCTGCAGCAGGTCATGGCAGTGTTTTCCAAGGATGCACCCTGCAGTCAGCCTGGCTCTATGTTGAGGGTGACAACATCTCCTCAGGGCTGGGAAAAACACAAAACCTTTTGGTGTCACTCAATGCTTCTGCTGGGCTGCCTGTTCTGAGCAGCAGCAAACAAAGGCAGGACTAGAGGAGAGCCAGTGATCCCATGGCAGCTCCAGCCCTCTCACTGGACTCTGGATTTACAACAGCAGAAGTTCTTTCTGCACCAAATCTTGGTATCTGGCAACTCTGATTTAACAGAGGAATTTTAAACTGCATGACTGTGCTTGGAATGCTGGGCAGAAAAGTGCTTTTTAAAACTGGTGCTTCTGTCTAAGACAAAATTACCCAGGAAGTCTCATGACTATAATCCTTTGTCCTGGCCAGCAATTCCCCAATCCCCTGATTCCCCTGATCTCTGCTGACATCCTGCCCTGCAGTTGGCAAAGTCTGCTACAGCTCGTGGCTGCTTCAGCTCTTGTAGGAGCTAAACAGCAAATGGCATCACAGAGCACAGCAGTGACTGGCAAATGGACACAAATGGAAAGAACAACCACCTCAGCTTCAAACACCAGCCTTCAAAATGGTTTATAGTGAGAGATGTTTCTAACCATGGCTTTCCTTGCTTATCAAGAAGTTACAGCCAAAATTACTGTCATTAACACATCTGGATCACTCTAAAAATACCTGCTGCTCTAAGTATTTCATCAAACTACATGGTGTGTAAAGTGTAGGTGGAAAAAGTCCCCTACATAACAGTTCTGCAAAGCACTGCAAATTTCCACTAAAAGGTGTCATTAACTCCCCAAGAACTACACCACCTAAGCTAGGATGTAGTCTGTAAAAATGCACCTTGCAAAGGTGATTTTTGAAGTGTTCTGTAGAACTACAGGCTGTCAAAATACTGTGTCTGTCACCCCCATTTCCTTAAACAAAGCAAATTTTTAGATATGCTGGAGCTGGAGATAAAATCCTGCAGTTCACCAGCACTAACCACAGCTGCAGCTCGGGTTTGAACTGGTCATACCATGAATGACCTCGGCTCCTCTGATCATCCTCAGCTCTGTGTCACTCAAAAAATCCCCAGAAACCCACCAGCATCTGACTTTACACACAAGGTCTGGCATGAAAAAGTAAAAACCACCATATCTTATAAGCTTGTACTTTATCAGCAGCAAATTAATTTTAAAGCAGTCAAGAAAACAAATAATTTAAGGAAAAAAAAATGAGGAGGACAAAACCACAGCCTGCTTAAGATTATTGCACAGCCTTAAAAACAGGTTCCAGGTGTATTTATTTCCTTGTTCTGCGTTGCAAGAGAACTACACAGCACTTGGAAATAAGTTTTGTTTCTTACCTGTAATGTTTTCCCCAGGCCCATACAGTGAGCAAGAATGCAGCCAGAGCCAGGAGATGTCTTGGTTTTTTTTACAGATTCACAACAGCAATCCCACATGAACTGAACACCTGAAGCAAATTATTGAAAGTTTTCTGATTAAACATTCATTTTATTACAGTTCCCCTGATAAGAGACAGCTGTGATCACTGAGATCATGATAACTCTTAGGAAAGCACTTGTCAGGATAATTTTTGATTCATTTCTGTCCAGTGGGATGATCTTTGAACTTGATTATATTCACAGCTTCACTGAAGATGTGGCAACTGGGTTGGAAAATACTCCTGTGAGGATGCAATTGCCTGATCTTGGGGACATGGAAAGGAAAAGAAATATTCTGGCTTTGTCAGTTCAGGAGTTTTTATTATTCTAATTCAGCCTGCATAATGTGCTGTGCCCCTGGGAAGGAAAAATTTCTTTTTTTTTTTTTTTCTTTCAACTCTTTCCTTACCATCTACTTGGTGTGGTTTCAGTCTGGTCACTATACTCCTGTGAACCTGCACTAATGGTTCTTTGGTTTCTTCATCTTCATCTAAAACCAGCTTGGTTGTAATGGGACATTTCAGAGGTGAAGCATCTTCAATCTCTATCACCTGGTAAAGAGAAACAGGGCATCAGAGGAACATTCTCACATGAGTAACACCCAGCATTTGAGATACTTCAGATTTACCACAACTGGGAGTCATAATTTATTAAATAAAGAAAAACTTTTAATTCTTTACTGCATCACAACTTACTCTGGCACTGAAGTGAAGCAGCAGGGACGTGGAACAGCTTTCTAAGGTCACAACAGTCAAATAAAACTTACCAAGGTCAACCTGCAGGAAACTGCAGACAAAACTTGGGGCTTACAAGGCTGTATGTAAGCAGTTTTCAAAAATCACACTGAGATTGAAATTTATCATCTTACACATCACCAGGAATTCAAGTTCACAGAATTTTCCACAGAAACCAGACCATACCTCTCTCAATTTCTCTCTCTCTCGTTCTCTCTCTGCTATTCGTTTTCTTCTTTCTTCTTCTTCTTTAAGTGCATTTTGTGTTTCTGTTCTAAGCTTATCATCTTTAATAATTTTCCTGATTTTCTTCCTGCCTTTTCCAGGAGATTTTGAGTCATCATTGTCCTCATTCTCAGAGTTGCTCTATTAGAAATTAAATAAATACACATTAGCAAAAAAATCATGGCACAACCCACCAAACCTTTCTTTCTTAGACAAGCTCCCACAAATTCTTACACATGCAGGTGAAGTTTGGCTAATAAGAAAAAAATGCCTTTTTAAAAAGTCTGACAAAAGAATTTCCACCTTAACTGTAATGTATTCTGAGATACCAAAGATAACCCCAGCAGTGCAAAGGCAGTATTGAAGGTACTGTTATCATTTGATAGTAGCTAATGATTATTAATAAAGCACTTTTTTCCTGCTATAAGGGTGCTAAATCAGATTTACCCTTACCTACACAATACAGGAAAAGAAACCCCAGCACTACCAAAGCCTTAATCTACAATTTGTCTCATCTGCATTTAGATTTAAAATTCCATTTTGCTCAATATCATACATTTTTATCAAGATCCATACAGGAGAAGTTTTAGTTCAACATAATGTTTTACCTCCACAATGGTGGCATTTTACAAATTTTAGCCTGAATTGACATTGAGAAAAGTTTTAATTTCTTACTGTCTTTTGTGCAGAGCTGTTTGAGATACCCTGAGCAGCTGGCAGAAGAGGAAATCCCTATTTATTATTTCAAAACATGATACAGCACCTTATTCTCATTTTCACTTGATGAATCCTCTTGAACCTTTATCCTCCTTCGTTTCTTTTTCTGTTTGTAGCTGCGCTGGTTTTCTTCTGCCTCAGCTTTTTTGGCAGATCTATTAAAAAAGCAAAAAGGCATTATTAGTGATTAACCATAATAAACCTCTGCCTCACTGAAAAACAGTGGTAAAGGTGTCCTGCATCAGTAATTAATAACATATGCACTCCTTTTGTGCAGGTAGGGCTGACTTCCAAATTCCTTCCTGCTCAGCCCCCTGGACACACACAGCAATGAGAAAACCCTACAGAATCTCACAACTATAAAGCATTAGTTTTATACTGCAATCCACCAGCAGACAGTGGTGTATTTGGCATTAAAATGTCCATTTCTTTGTTGATTTTTTTTTTTACTGGCTCAGCATATTGTTGTGTATCCCCTACTGTGGTACAAATTCAAAATTCCCACATTTTCTGTGAAATAAATTAACGTTCTATAATTCCTACGGACAAATATCATCATGGGTTTTAAAAACTGCTCCAAAGAGTTTTAACTTCTAAACCCCAAAACAAACAGAGGGTAAGCACAGTTCAGTTTTATTCATACCTTGTCCTTGGCCTTTGGTCATCCTCAGACTCACTGACCTCTTCACTCACTGCAGACTCGTGGAACTCGGAGTCATTTGAGTCATCACTGCTCACTTGCAAAAGAAAACAGCATTTATTTTATTTCATGGTGCCTATCACTGCAAAGCCAGCAGCCCCTCACTGCACAACAAACTGCTTAAGAGCAACAGGCACTGCCAAGGCTCCTTTCAGACAATATGGAACCCATATATATGAGAAGCAAGAGGGATAAAAGGGGTACAGAGAAAAAACCATGAAAATTTAAGCACTGGTTGAGTCCTGGTGGGTGACTTATTGTGCCACAAGCCTTGAGGTCCTTGTGCATGAACATCTACATTTATTTTACAAGCAAATGGAAGAGAGCATTAAATGATGGAGGAGAACTGTGGGGAACAGTATGGAACTTCAGAAAACAAAAGGTGATTTTTAGTGAAACAGGAGCTTTTGTTTCAAATGCTTTACATGTAATTTTATAACCATACTGCAGGAAAAAGGGCCCTTATTTACACACAAAATATAAAATTGCATCACTACATTTATGGCTTGGCATTTCTATGGGTAATACAGGCTCAAAGCTGCCTCAAAAAGCAATTAAAAATAGACCTCAAAGAGCAGCATTAGCAAAACTCTTCCAACCACTCTGAGGAGCTGTCACTGGCATTTTTAGGTAATGAAGACACCAGCATGGCATTTAACACCTTTAATTTCAGCTTGACCTTGAACACAGAGGCAAGTTTAATTGTTTTATGAATGACAAAGCTTAAAACATGAGTAGATCTCCATACATGGGGAAAGGTAACATTAATAACATAAGGGCTAGAAAGGGCAAACTGAAATCAAATATATTGCTCTGTTTGAGGGCAGTCAACTTCAGAGGCTTGCACTGAAGAGCCCTGAGCTGCCTCTTATCTGCACATTAATTCAAAGGTAATTTACAGTTATTCTTCCTGCATGAAATACTGTAGGTAGAGCTTTAATCCCATAAGGGAGGAAAAGCATGAATATGCAAACAGATAAAAATGAGTTTTCACGGAGGAAAATGCTAAACAAATCACTTTGCATCTTTTATTCAGTGGAAGACCACAAAAGCTGGCTGGCCTTAGTGCAACACAGGGATCAGAGAAGCCCAGTGCACCTTTCCTGGCCAGGAAACACCCCCAGGTTCTTTGTTCCTGCCTGCAATAATGAAGTCCCAGCACAGGCTCATTTCACAGTGCCATCTGGTGCTCAGCTCCAGCCTGCTGCACTGCAATTCCAGCAGGGAGACATTCCTCAGGCACTACTGCCAGTCCAAGAGAGGAATTACATAAAAGACAAGACTGATTTCCCCATACTTAGACATTCTGGGCTTGCCTCTGCTCTTTAGGATGGATACTCTAAGAGTCCACAGGATTAATCCAATTCAGAGGATACAGCAAGTGGAGAGAACTGCACTTGTATTTGACATTTCAAATAAAGCTATTCAACGAAAAAACATGAGGGAATTCTAGATTTCATACACAAGGAAATTTATACAGGGATTTTAAAATCACAACAGTTGAGATCTCCATTCTGACAAGCTCTGGATTTATTTTCCAGAAGCAAGTACTTTTCATGACCAACAAAAAGATGTGGATTATGTACCTTTCCTTCTATGTCTTCGCTTCCCTCCTTCCTTTTTGTCTTTTGGTTTCACCACCTTCTTTTCTTCTCCAGACTCCCCATCACTCACAGTGAGTTTGTGCCTCAGCAGTCTGTGCCTGTATCTGGGCTTCTTGGATGTTTCTTCTTCCTCTGAATCTGACTCAGAATCACCTTCTTCCTTTTCAGACTTCTTGTCTTCCTTTTCCTTCTCTCCTGTCACACACAAGAGTCAGTACCACATGCATACCAGTCATTTTCTTATCTTACATAAATTGGGCAAGAATTAAAATCTGAATGAATTTAACTTAATTTTAACTGAATTTAATTTAATTTAAAATCCTGTGCCTTTCCAGGGAATTACAAGCAACAACATACTAAACATTTGAGGAAACTGGTGTTTCCCACTGCCTGAATGCTTGGAATGCCTGTTTCAGTGAGTGTGTTAGCCAATTCTCTCCTGTGCACTTGTAGGACTTACTGTTCTGTACAGATAATAATCCCTCACAAGAAGTCCCTAGGACTTCTTAATTGCTTACAAAAACCAGAGTATAACAAAAAATGAACGTACAGAGCACTAAAAGAGATTATAATCCTCATGACCACATACACTGGCCTCTATGTGGCAACTACATATCAAAATGAGTAATATTTTTTGCTGAAAACTTTTAACAATCATCATTTTCCCAAGTGACCCTTGAAATCATGACAGGTGCCACTTTTTCCCAGATGCTTTTTTGGTGCTTACCATCCTCTCCTGTGTTTTCAGTTTGCTTTGCAGGTTTCTTTTTTCCTTCCACCGGCTGCTCATCTGAAGACGTATCCTCATCAGAGGAAAGATTGGCTTTGATTTCTTCTAAAAGCATTTTCTTGGCAATTCTTTGAAGTAAAACAGAAAACACTATTTATTCCATTGTTCAAGTACATCTATGAACGACAAGTGTAATCCTACACCATTCAGAACTTCAAAAAAAGGGCTGAAAGCTGAACAAAAAAAAAAAGACACGTGATGAAAAGTCATTGTGGCAAGACAGGATCTATCAGCAAAAAATCTCACATTAAATGTAATGTGTTGACTTGCTTTTAGAAAGCAGGTTTTCATAAAGCTTCTTTAAAAGAAGTTTCCTGCTTTACAGCAGACTTGAAATGGTTATAAAATGTACAGACTTAGAGATTTCATTTTATTCATGGTCTAGCTGGATAACTAACCACAAGCCCTTGCCTTACAGCAGCTCCTGAAAATCCTTATGTGTTGACATCCAAAAAGTCTGACCAACACTACAGGACCTGAATTTCAGATAAAAGTCAATCACCTTATTTCCTGCTCCACAAACTGTCCACTCAGCTCCCCATGACTTCCCTGCAGAACAAGTTTTCAACTAAAGCACAAGTGACTATGGAAAAATTATTTCTTTACATGCACTTGCAACATAAAAATCTTGTCTGAGTCTATTCAAGGCAGGTATGTCAAAAGCACAGGAAAACAGTGGACTTAGAGTATTTGTAGTTACAGGGGAGAAAAAAATAAATCAAGTCTTCCTCATATAAATATCAGGAATACTACAGTTTTCATTGAGGTCATCCATCTTAAATGACATGTGTTTTCTAGGTGAAACCTCATCTGTCTTGCCTTTTGGGAGAATGAATGCATGCTGTGTGTACATAGCTCAGGATGGGAAAGCTCTCACACCAGTCAAAACAGCAGCTCAAAAGCCATGGAACTGAACCCCAAACCAGGCTTCACTTGGGAACGGCAAAGGAACAGGGATCTCTCAAGCAAAGCTTCCTATACAACAAAAAACTGAGTCGTTGTTTCTATGGAGCACTATAAAATAGGATTTTAACAATCAGTGTTTCATTTTCCAGCCTGCAACATGTCCCTAAAACAAAAAAAAATTTCAAAGGGAATCTTCCCAAGCTGTCTTTCCTGACACTCCACACAGTATTTTCTCATTTTTGAGCAACAGTGTAGTTTTTTAAAACACTTTCACACTAATTTATTTGGTTTTTATTAAAAGATGGAAGCAAAATAGTTTAATAAACATTTCAGATTGTTCAGTGAGTCAGACCATCCATCAGCATCCAAAACACACCCTCCCCCCTCTCTCTTGAGAAGAAAAAACTGATTAAAATTTTACCAAGCAGTAAACCTTGGAGAACTTCAATTCCACATCTATCAAGAAATCACAGCATGAACCCAAAGAAAACTTACTAAAGTCCACAGATAAGTAACATCCTCTTGCAAATGCTTTTTGCATTAGGCCCTCCCAGAGGATATTTGGAAAAGGGATTTAGGGTTTGGTTGGTTGTTGATTTTTTTTAGAACCCAGCACATCACGTTTAACAGCAACAGAAATAAGCAGATCCTCATATAAGAAATTCAGACTCTATTTCTTCCATCTCTTAATGGTCAGAACTTTTTTCTTCAAAATGAAACTGTTTGGAATGTCACAGGCTGGCTTCCTTTAACAGCTTTTAACATAAATTATTAACCTTGACTCCTACTCCAGAAAATACAGAGAGCAGTGGTCTGGCTACTTGCCTCATTTAATAAAAATCCAAAGTTTTAGAAAAGAAAAAAAGCCTAAAAGACTTGGAAAAAAAAAATTGAAACTGAATTCTCAAAGTCCTGCCTTTGACTTATTTTGGCACATGCATTAGCAAAGTTAACACAGCTTGTGGATGGCAATACTTACCTCTACACAAGTCACCTTTAAAAGGCTGACTTTGGTTCTTAGCAAAACAAGACCTTCATTTTAATTTGTTCTTTAATGAAGTATTTATTTTTTTTAAGAGGAACAGGAAACAGCAAATGTATCTAACACCTAAAGAGACCATGCACAAAATCTAACATCCAAAACCAAGATGCTCTCATTTTCCTATTAATCACCAGCATAACCAACAACCAGATTGGATAAACTGAGCAGTTGCTAATTATTTACAATAATATTGATTAAGAAGTTATTGCTGTGATAGAAAAATAGTCCTATCTTTTATCTAGGATAAAGACTTGCAACCAAATTGAGGTGGGACTGTTTGTTAGTGAGAAAAGCTGCATTTTCTTCAATGCATTTACTGGCATGAATTTAGGCAAAAAAAGTGAGACATTATTAAGATGTTCAGGATTTAAAAGATGCCCATTTTTAATTAACTACATATCTGATAGGAATGATTAAGTGTAAGCAACATTAGACCCAAAGAGATTAGGCCTTGTGAAAGCATGTGACAAATGACTGATGTAACAAATAGCTTCTAGGAATTATTATAAATTGAGTACTGCACTCTGGAGGCTGGGTTTCAATTAAACCACAATGGATGTTGACCAGGATAACACATCATATTTCTATTTTATGATAAAACCCATTTAAAAGTCACCAAGTTTCTAAGCTAAGAAACTTCACGTGGCAGCCTTAACATTTTAGTATTTGCAGTAACAGCAGCAAGAAAAACAAGCTATGATAGTGTGAAAATTCCCTCACTCATATTCTTCCAGAGCAAACCATGGAAACCAAAGGGCACTGTAATATGTTCTCAGGTCAAGGACATAAAAGATTCTTGGCCATTCAGATGTAACAGTTGAGCACCAGCAATGGATTTAATTAAGAGGCACAGAGAGCCATATGACCTCCAGCACAGGGTTTCAGGCAGTAAAGAATAAAGCAAAAAATAAAATAATATTTTAAAATCCCTGCATTTCACTCATTCCTGCACTGATCTGCTGTGACCTTGAGCATGTCATGTTGCCCCACTCCATCTTATCTAAACTTATGGTGACATTTGTATGAAGGGCACTCTCCCAACACACATTATCCAGTGCCTCAACCTCAACCAGGACACACAAAACCAACTCCAGAATAAAATAACAGCACACATGCACAAGTCTGTATCAACTGGGAATTAAAGATATTTCCCCTTTGTAAGAACAACACCAGCAGAATACATTTCTAAGCAATGAATTGATTATTATAGATTTTTAAATCTTGCTAAAAGAAAAGAGTTTTCACAAGAGGCAGACTGGAAATTACCCAGGGGTTGCTTAGTTACACTGCAGGACTGCTTTAAAAGCTCCTTCAGACATTGCAGCACAACTGGGGCAGCAGGTGCAACCTCTCAGGATGTGGAGTTAAGCCCCATGCTAATTTGCACCATTTTTGTTCAAGAATTTTACAATGCCAATACAATGAGATTGTTCAAAATCTTGGTGAGACAATGCTACTGTTGTAAAAATCCGTTTTCTTAAAAAGCCATGGTTTTAAATTTTAGTTCATGATTGTGATGTTTTATTACCAATTAGATTACATCAACTCACACTCAAGTGTTCATAAATACCTACTTTTATATGCAGAAATAAGGTTGCCCCATACAAGCCCTTGGGTGGGGGAGGATGGTGGGCCGTGGCTAATAAAATCCACCAGAATTCTAGCTAGAGCTAGGTTCAAATGGGCCTTCAGAATACTACTAGAAAATTTAGAACCCTTTAAAATATATTTTAAGACATTAATATTTGAATGAAATGTCATACATGTCTAAAAAAAAAAGAGTGAAAACTGCCAAACATCTTGTTCTAAATACTGTGCTGTCTTTGTTGGAAGAGGCTGATTTTCAAGCTGTCAGAGTTGGATTAAATTAAATGCTTGGACAAGAAAAACGTTTTACAAAAATTTATTGCAACCATCAAATACTTAAAGGCATTCTGCATTAAATACACTATTAACTTCTTAATAAACAGAACTACTGCAAACATATCAAACAGTACCATTTAAAAGATCAGAAGGACCAATAATAGTTACACAACAGAAGATGAAAGCATACAGCACTGTATGGCATAGTATGACCCACTTGGATATTGCATTTTGGCAAAAAAAAATTATTTCAAGGCTATTAATATTCATGTCATGCACATCCTCAGGTATGCAAATAACAGAACATCTAAACTAGAGACTTGCAAACAGGAGAGTTCCCACACTACAAACACCCAGCAGGTACCAGGTACCCTCTTTGGCCTGGAAGAAAATAGGCAACTTCTCTGAATCAGTAGGTAAACTATTTAAACACTTTGTGTTGAGTAAACAGAAGAACAAGTTTTTTAACTTCTCGAAATTTGTTCCATCTTTTTACAGTTTATAGCTCTGATTTTGGTGCCAAGTACAACACATGATGAAGGCAAAGTCAGACTGCATTACCAGTTAACATGTCTGAAGGTTGACAACACTGTTTATTGACAAAACACCTCCCCATCTCATAAACAGATGTTCAAAAGATCTCCTAAATAAAAACTTAACAAAGAGGCAGTTTCAAAACAAAGTACAGAAACTGATTTTTAAAGCCCGAATTTATATTACTATTTGTTATCAATTAGGTTCATTCATTTCCCAACACAGCTCTTACACTAAATCATGACTGAGTTCTGTCAGAAACGTTTGTGCTGTAAATACTGAACTTCTGACAAAAGTGTATTGGTTTAGTTATCAAACAGAAACTCACAACAACAACAAAAAAAAGAAAAAAATAAGGGGAAAAGCAAACTTCAAACAGGACTGAAATTAAAGCAGAATTTTTAAACATCTTGTTATACTGAAGTTTACATGTTCTGCTTATGACCCTGTGCTGTCAAGTCCCTAAAAAGCATCTTTCTTTAAAGAGCTGAATTACTGGGTTAAATTTGATGACTGAAAACTCACAAGAACTAATTCAGCAGCAGCATTTTGATGCCAAACTGAGGTCCGTAAAGGAAAGTGTTTTTCAAACTTACTTCAGCCACATATCAAAACATACAACTCTGTGAAACAAGGATTCCATATTCTAAACTAGTAAGGCTCAGAAGCAGAAAAAGACTCCACCAGCAACTGGTCCCACACATGCTATATGGCCAAAACAACAACAACAAAAAAAATCAGTTTCTGAAACACTGTATAAAAATTTGTTGAGCAGCTCTTCAGTCTGACTACAGTAAGTTCCAAAAAGAACCTGTGGCTCAGAGCTGAGTGATACTTCATGTTGTGCATTTAGGAAATGAAGCTTTTACATTTCTAGCCAGGCTAATTTTGATAGCTACAATGGTACTGGTAGAATATGACAGGTCTTAGCTAACTGTATCTTACAGAAATTCTTTTTTATTGAATTCCAAACTGAAGCAATACAGATAAGCCACAATTCTGAAAATATCTATGCAAAGACTTAAAATATATAATTAGTCTCTTTGATACCAGTTGAGCCTATGCACAGTGCTTGTAGAATCATGGCCTTAACTCACATTAGTCACTTCAGGTACTTTTTAGTGGATTAAAACTCAGTTGAATTAACAGCTGAAAATATCTAATACGGTTTTCCCCACATTTGTGCTTTCTCTTTATTGAGAAAAGGCGTTTCAATTAAAAAGCATAAGAAGTAACAGTAATAACCAAATTAATTCTGAAAATATTTCAGCACTGCATATTGTACAGATGCAAACTGTCCCCTTCTACTCCCACAACTAGCTGAAATTCACATTTAAGCAGCAGCAGCAGCTTTTAACCTGCCTGCAAGATCCTCACCACCAACCTCCCCACGTGCACCACGAAACCCCAGTGGGCCAGCAGTGCTTTTAGAAGAGCCCCTAGCCAGGTGTATCAGCTACCACTTTTAGACATTTGCTTTGCATTCCTGGCTCTGGGCCTCTGTTTTCTGGCCCCGCGTTCACACTTGCGGGAGGCGCGTGCGCGAGTCTTTACGGGGCAGGCGGCCGAGCCTTTGACCCCCTGCTTGCTCCTCCGTTGCGCCGGTTTGCGCCCACGCCTAGGGTGTGTTATAATCGTTTCTAAGTCCTTACGGAGGGTATCATACCTATTCTCAGGGTCGTCATCATCATCATCTTCCTCCTCCTCCATTGGGATAGTCCTTGATAGAGCCTCTGCTTCATCTCCTGGAAGGGAAGCCCGAAAGAAAATGCTTAATGTGTGTAAATCCAATAATAAGCAATACATGGCAGCACAATAAACACAGCACGTGAACTGCAACTCCATCAACAATCCCCGTTTAAAAACAGCTTGGCAATACCACTTTTCTACCAGTTACCTGTCTTGACAAATAAAAATAAATCTAGTTTTTCCAATTTTGCTCACTGCTACATACCACTTGCAACTCATTCCTAATTACATACTGTGAATTTGGGATTTTACACCAAAACATAAGAGACTCAATACTCTACTCAGGAATTAGAAATAAGGTTCCTAAGAAGTTATTTGCTCTGTCAGAAGCTCCAGTGGTGAGTTTGTGCAAACTGCAAAGAAGGAACAAACAAATATGGGACCGAATTGCTTCCCAAGCCCATGGGTTGCCCTGCTGCCAGGAGAGAAGTACTGGAGATCACCAATCCTCCCTATTTTTGCTTTCACACTAGGAGTGTGTGTAAAGAATTGTATTTTGAGAATTCCACATGCTGTCCTTACTGCAAATATCCAAACTCAGCTGCACGACATGGCACTGTCTCATGTACAAAGGACATCACGACCAACAGTGTGGGACATGTGACAGAAAAGGAACAGCACAGTGTGAATCCTGCCCTTGAGCTCCTCTGCACTCTCTGGGCTGGACTGAGGAATTTGTATTTAAATTTAAATTAGCACATTCCCAGGCCTCTCCCCTTGCTTTTCTCTCTCTTTTGTCTTGTATGCAAGTCAGATAAATCTGCTAGGTAGTGAAATGAAGGGAAAGAAACCCCGCAATCCTAATGAGCTGAGATCTCCTCACTCATAATTTCTGTTTGTATTCTATCTGTGGGGACTGGAGGACTGGACTAAAACTACACTGCAAGAAGGACACTCCAAGGTGATCACAGAAAGTCCCTCATGTAGATAAATAAAAGTATCCTGTTGGTTATACCAGATCCTAAGTTTCATTCAATGATCAATCTACATAGCTTATTCACAGAACAGACTCCTTTATTTTATTAATTCACCTATTAAACCAAAAGCAAACTGCAGACAAAGGCCACATTCTTCTCCTCTGAAAATACTCTAACATAGGCAGAATTTCATAAAATCAAATGATAACTCCAACTCTACTCCAGCTCCATTCTCAAAGCAAAACTAACTCGAAGGTCAGCTCAGTTACTTCAGGGCCTTGGCCAGTCAAGTTTTGAGCATTTCCAAGGACAAAGATTCTGAAGTTCAACAACAAGGCAACCAGTTCCAAGCTCTGACTATGCTCCGTGTAAGAATACTTCTAGTATCTCTTATTTTTCCTTGATAGATGCTGTATCCACTGCCTCTCATCCTTTGGGCACACATCCAGCTCAGCCCCTCCTAAAACTGCCCCTGAGGTGATTTGCAGACAGAAATTCAGACAACTCGTTTTTAGCATTCTGTCTCCAGTCTAAACCAAGCCACTTCTCTCAGTCTAATTCTCCTGTCAATCATCCTAAATCTTGTTTAGTTTGTACCCTGCTATCCATCTCTCCAATAACGACCCAATCTTCCCATTGTGACCTGCAAATGAAACAACAGCTCCCAATGCCTCAGACACCTTCTGATATATTAAAACCAACTTTCTCCTCTTGGGCTATCTCAGTACCAAGTCCATCAACTGTACATGAGCAATTCCATTTTCAAGGCATTTTTCACTGTTGGTCCAGTAGTGCTATGTTGGAACTCTAAAGTTCCACCAAGCAACTTCCCACAAAGTTTGGATGTTTTGAACTTTCTGTGCTGTCAGGCACTGATCCCCAAGGGAACACTACTTTTGATGGCAGTGTTATTTTGTTAGCTAAAGTGCTGAAAATTTTATTTTGATAGTAATTAATTTTGTTAGTTAAACTGCTGAGAACTGTGTCACTGAGTGCCATCAATTGTCTGTCTATAGGAGAGCTTTAATGGCTGTGGCAGCAACCACATGCAAAAAACCATTTCATTACTATGCAAACCATGAATTATCTGCGATCTCCCCCAGCAGTGACATCACTGGGGAAAACACTGATAAGGCAACACTCAAGGAAAAGCTCTACAAGTCCCAGTATTATCTGCACAGGGACACAACATATGAAATCGATAAGCAATGGCAGATTTCTAAGTAGCTGTTCTAAGACTACATGGCTCTTGTGAGGCATAAAAAACATTTACTTGATTTTTAAATGTATATTACAATGCCACAGGTCTCCAGAGTCATCTCCAGTGCACAGACAGGAGGTGATAAATTTGAGTTCACCACATTATCTACTCCTTCCAACCAGCCTCTGCTAAATAGTCCCTGGGCAGCTGAGGCAAGGGCCAAGCTTTGGAAAGCTGGACTGCAAGGCAGTATCTGTTGTAAATACTGCCTAGAGCTTCCAAAGCACCTCCATTTACAGTGACATCATTTTTTTCCTCAAGGCACAAGCTGAAATCACAGAATCTTACAGTCACAGCATAGTCTGGCTAGAAGGGAACTTTACAACATGTGCTTCCAAATCCCTTATCAGAAAACCCAACAGGCTGCAAACATCTAAACGTATCATTACCAACTATGAGCATTTTTTGCTTCTAGATGATTAAATGTCACCCATATCTTACAAAGTTCCCCTGTTAGTATTTTAATATGTGTACATGAACATCTTTTGCACACCTGATGACTGACAAAATCCTGCATCAGCAGACAGCATCAAGCTCTCGGTCACCGGCCTGATCTTCTGCTCGTCGCTGCTTCCATCGCCTGTGGAATTCTGATCGTCATTCTCTTCCTTATCAGACGCTTCCTTATCAGACGAAGAAGAGGAAGTGACAACCACCTTCTTTTTTGCCACTTTCTTTTTTAAGTTGCTCTTTTTACTTTCTTTTACTGATCCTCTTTTAACCTTTTTCTTAGTGTCTTCATAGGACTCCTCATCAGAAGAAGACGAGTCATTCTGTTCTTTCTTGGAAATTTTCTTTTTGTGGCTTATTTTTTTCTTTTCTTTCGTGTCAGTTCGCTTTTTACGCCGCATGGCATCATCATCAGAACTCTCCTCTTTTTGGGGAGATTTCTCAGTATCAGAGGATAAATCAATGCGCACTCTTTTAGCTACTCTCTCTCTCAATTTCCTCTTTTCTGTTAACACGGGCTCCTTTTTAATTTTGTCGTTTTCAGAAGAATTGCCACTGCCTTTCTCTGGAGATGACTTATCAGGATCAGAAGAGGAATCATCTTGTTCTTTCTTGAAACCTTTCTTTTTCAATTTTTCAGATTTCTTTGCTTTGCTTTCTGAACCTTTCTTGTTCTTGAGCTTGTCTTTTGAAGATTCCAACTTGTGCTCTTTCTTTGCCGATTTCTCAGTACTCTCAGAAGAAGAATCATCCTGTGTCTTTTTCTTTTTCAAATCCTTTTTCTTAACTTCAGGACTCTCCTCCTTCTCCAGTGAAGACCTCTCAGCATCAGAAGACTCATCACGTTTTCCCTTTGCAGATTTTTCTTTTGAGTCTCTGTTTATCTTGTCCTTAGCAGCTGACCTCTTACCCGTTTTCTTATCTTTAGAAGAGTGATTAATTTCCTTCTCTGGAGAAGACTTCTCAGCATCATCATCTTCAGAAGATTTCCCTCTCTTTTTCTTCAGATTTACCTTTTTCTTACTGCTAACTTTGTTCCTCTGCTCTTCTTCAGAGGAATCGTAACTATCATCTTTTTGTGAGAATTTTTTCTTCGATTTTTTTGCAGCATCAATTTTACTCAACATTTTTATCTCCTTTTCCAACTCAGAATCATAGTTTGAAGAATCAGAGTAGTTTTGTCGTTTCTTTTTAGCAGCAGCAGCATTTTTAGCTGATTTGCCTCTTTTAGCATCTAAATCTGAGCCGGAACTGGAACTTTTCCTTTTTCGTTTCCCATTTTCATCCTTTACTGGTTGACTCTTTTGAAAATCTGAAGCCTGCTGATTCTTTGCTGGCGCTTCACTGTTGCTCTCACTGTCTGAGGAGCTGCGACTCATCATCCCTGCTTCTTTAAGGACAGCTGGCAACTCATCAGAGTCTGAGCTGTGATCCAAGTCATATGGCTTTTTGGATTTGGAAACTTTCTTAGGACTGGGACCATCAGCAGTGCTGTCAGATGAATTTTTTTTATCGTTTTTCCTCCCGGCTTGCTTGGATGGTTTCCCCTTCTGTTTTTCATTGCTCGTGTCGTTGCTGTCCTCCTCTGAGTTGGATGTCAGGGGGCTGATGTCCGTGGGGCGCCTCAGTGGGGTGGTTTTGACACGTGGTGACCTCCGGAGATCCGAGTCCTCCACGGGCACAGTGTCGTTCTCCGTGGAGGGCTCGCTGCCAACGCTGTGGTTTTGTTTCACAGAGTCACAGTCTGCTGCCCTAGCTTGAGATGCATCGACGTCTTGAGATGCATCAACATCCTGAGATGCATCAACATCTTGAGATGCATCAACATTCTGAGATGCAGCAACAGCCTGAGATGCATCATTGTCTTTATTGTCCTTTTCTAGGCTGCTGTCTTGATCATCAGCTTTAACTGTGGACTCCGAAAGGGAAACTGGAGTCAATTTTACAATCAGTTCTTTTGTTCCTTTAGCCGACGATTTTAACTTGGTACCACCTTTGGTGTCTTTCACAGGAGTGTTTAGTTTTGTATTTGAGTTTGGAGTCTCATGGTCTGCTGCTGTGTTTCCACTGTCCTGCTCATCTGATGGCATCTGAATCTCCATAGCAGATTCCAGAGTCTCAAAAATATCTTCAGGAACAGACGAGGGGATGGACACAATATCCATGTCCAAAGCCTCTGTACTGTTGGGCTCATACTGCGGTTCTTCATTTCCACCAGACTTTTTCTCTTCCTCAGGAGCTGCCTTGTTATCTGTCTGTTCCACTGAGGGAACACTTTGATCCATGGGCTCATTGTCAGGCTGCTCTGACACAACTTTTTTCTGTGTCTGTGTGGCAGCATCCTCTTTTAATGCGACACGTTCCTTTCCTTCATCTTTTTTCACCTCATTTTTTTCTGATCTAACCTCAGTTTTTTTCTCTTTGGTATTTTTATCTTTGATTTTAACATTCAATGCTTGAATCTCCAGGTTCAGGCCTTCTTCTAGAGACAGATGAGCTTTTTTCATGTCACTCAGCACAGATTTAAAAGCTTTCAGCTGGCACAGTTGCACAGTTGGGCTTATTTCTACATTTTCTGCAGCGTTTTTCAAAAAGCTTACAAAGCTAGAATTCAGATTTGTTGTAGTTTCAATCAGTTTTTTTGTTTTCTTAAGCAAGTCTTTTGGCACCATTAGTGCTTTATAAGAATATGTTAATGAACCTGAATATGAATTATCTAGTTTTTTTTCTTCCCCATTACAATTTGCATTGTTTTTCTTTGGAGAAAACTTGACTGCATGGTCATATATTTTACTTTTTTCATTTTCAACTTTCATCTTTTTTTTGTTTTGTTGAAGTAACTGTTCTAAATTTTCAAAGACACTGTCACACGCAGTGACCAAGTCCAACAAAGGCTCTGGATGGCAAATATAGCAGTGCCACTGGTTATTTTCATCAAGGATAGTCGAGAGCTCCTTTCGGCCCAGGTTGCGCAAAATGCACTTTTTACAGAAGGCGTTATGGCAAAAGTCACAGCAAATCAAATTTCCACCTTCAGCACACCACCTGCAACGAGATTGAGAAAGGTCAGAGTTGTCTCCATGTCAACAAGGTGATACATTATGAAGTTCACGACGTATTTAAAAATTCAGATGATGAATAGATAGCCATTATTTGAAACCATTACTGAAAGTGTGTCTGAAAAGCTCTATGGAGAATCACAAAGTCAGAAAATTCATGTATTAGATTAACAGCTCACAAAGCTGAAATGGTCAGTAATTTTCAAACACAATTTCAACACTGATTTCTCTAAAGAAGAGAAAAAATAATTAAATCTTATTTTCCCTGTTTCTTCTGAAAATTTGTGATTTATTTTACAGCAAAATTAATGAGCTTCGGCCTTTCTAGCCTTAACTCATGTATTACTACTGCAGTACATGAAGACAGAAAAGTGGTGGACAATGAGCTCATAGAAACCACAGACTGCACAATTTTACTGAAGTACACATTTAGATATTTGACAGAAGGACAGAGAAGTGCTTTGGTATTTCAAAAGTGAGAGATGCATCTGGAGAACTGAGTTTGTCTGGCTCACAAAGTTTAGAATGTCAGATTCTTTCCCCATCTTTAAGGTGGCACGTTATTTAGTTAAACTTGTGGTATCTTACAAGTGTTTGTTATTAGATTTCTTTATAAAATCTTTTCCTGTTCATTACTAAAACAGCAAGCAAACAGTTAAAAAAACCCTGGGGTTAAGTATTTCTTGGTGACAAATAATTGTTAATTCAGCTCTTATGTACTTGTCTTTATTTGCCAATGCAACAATTGCAAGAAAAAGATCCCCAAACCAGTAGAGCTGTGGGTGTTACTTCAGTTTTTATACACATTCCATTTTGCACACACTGCAGCTTTTGTACACTCTCCCATTTTGCACACACTGCAGCTTTTGTACACTCTCCCATTTTGCACACACTACAGGTATTGTACACATTCCATTTTGCACACACTGCAGTTGTTGCACACTTTCCCATTTTTTCATACACTCCAGGTTTTGTACACTTTCCCATTTTGCACACTTACCTACACTGTTCATCCATCCCGTCTGAATCACGACTGATGTCATCACTCATGTAATACTTGTAACAAGTCTGTAAAGAAAGAGAGAAGACAAGGAATTCTTTATTGAATCTCAACTGGGCTTCAGCAATTCATTAGATTTCAGCATGCATTAGAAGCAAGCCAATAAAAGCAGCAGCTGCAAGGTCTTCAGCATTCTAAGCCTTTTACATTAGTTTTAATCTAAAAAACATCTTCCATGGTCCCAAACCGTGACTTATTTAGATGGCTCAAGGTTTGTTTGAAAATTAAACAGCTTTTGTTTGATGGCTGCATATTTGTGCATTTTAGAACATCAGCTGAATACTTCTCCCCAGTCTGAATGATTCTTCCATCTATTTCCTAGGTAAATCAGCACCACATCCTCCCTGACACAATTAATCCCACATAAATGACAATTTTCAGCTGAATGCTCCTTATGTTAGCATGTGATGCCAAAAGGCTTTAGATAAAAACATCTTCAGCATTTATCATGATGTTAACACCCAAAAATTCCATTTCCATGTGAAAACAAAGCATCTTCATTTGAAAATTTGGTAATGGTAATAAAAAAATACAAACGACTCAGCTAGGAGTACTGAGGGCTTCAGTTGCTGAATAGTTGACCCCAAATTTTGAAGGTTTGGTGTCATTTTTTTCCCCAGCTGTTACTGAAGAATGTTCTCCCAGACTTGTAGCTCTACTTTGAACAGGCATTAATACAATTCACAATGCAGAAGAGGCTTCATCACCTGAATTGACAATGATGATGCTCCATTACCTGGAACAGACTTGCACATCTGTTCAACTAAACTATCCAAACAACCAAAATCTACATAAAACCCCAGTAAAATCTGATGTTTAGACACTTGATGGAACATTTGCAGTCAAAGGAAAACAGCTTCTCAGGTCTGGGACTTTTGCCTAAGTAGGAGAAAAATAAGGGCAGAACTAGGCACAGAAATAATGGAAGAGCTAGAGATCAGGGGCTTCCATTCCTCCCTCTCACATTCACATAAGGCCATGTTCAACTAAGTAAAAACTGAGAAAATCAAGGGAAACACAACCCTTGATGTGATTCATGTAAAAGAGCTCCCAATCAAGAGCTGCTGTTGAGCAAAACACCCTGACCAGGTTACAAAAATGACCCAGATCATGGTCACACTGCAGGAACACGGGTGTGCAAGGCCAGGACCAAGAGCTGGGACTCCAATGGAGATGAGACAAGGTCACCTTGTGAGCTGATTCTTGTAAAGCACATTTTGTAAAAGAAACAAGCCAGAATGCAGAGAAGAGCCAGCACACCAGCCTAGATGGGCATGGCTGAGAGAGTCTGTCAGCTGAGTCTGTAACACCAGTGAGGAGCTGGGAAGGAGGAGGAGGAGCAGGGAAATGCTACATGTACATTATAATACAGAACTGTACCTTTAGCAATATCTTTATAAATACAAAATCTCCACCATTACAGAAATATTCAAGAGAGATCTCTGCAGCTCTCTGAAAGTTAGCAGAGGTCTCCACAGCAGGAGGCAGGGACATTTCCTTCCTGCCCTGTCCCACCTCTTCCCTCTGCAGCCAACTCAGGGCCTGTGTGGGGCCACCAGGAAGCCACACAGCTGAAGATTCAGATTATAGACTAGAGCAGCATTGCAAAGGTGCCGTAAATTAAAACAGTCCAGAAGCTGGCAGAAACAGAGATGGCTTTGAAGCTGCTTTTCTGCTCTTTATTTCAGTGCTCTTCTACATGGAATGTTTTACCATGAGATGAAGACTTGAATCTGTTCTTAAAATACATTATGAGTAGGCAGAAATTTCAGACAGATCATTTAACATTAAAAATTCACTAAGATTATACCCTTAAAGCTGTACAAGTAAATAACAAAGAAACCACCACCAGTTTAACTGGGATATAAGAAAAAAGGAATATAAACTTGTAAGTATATTTGCCTCTTTTTCCCCTCCTTTTAGTTTCTTCAATTGTAACAGCTAATGACTGAAAACTTTATTGACTAATGAACAAGAATTACACCCATAAAAATCCTACTCAAACCAACTAATATGACATTTTGCAACAAAAACAAACAGAAGTGTTTACCACATACCTTACAAATAAGCACTTTCAGTGTAGGGTGTCTATAGATTGAATCCTTTTGAAAATGGTTCACCTGCTGCCCACAAGCTGTACAGCTCACAATTCCATGGAGTCCTTCTTCTATGAAGGGGATTACAAACCACATATTAATTGTTTTCATTCTTATTTAAGAACCCTGTATGTACCTATTGCATTTTCTTGCAATATTCTGGCCTGTCAGGCTTTTTGTTTCTGCACCACCCAGCACCAGAGAAAAATTTCTGTAACCATTTGCCATTTTAAGACTGAATTTTCCCCTGATTTCTATGCTTCACTTGTGGTCAAGATACAATTCTTTTCCCTTTGAGAGGTTTAAGGTGGGTTAACTGGTCACCTCATGAAAACACACCTAAATTAGAGTCATCACTAAAATTCTTTCAGAGCAGCTCTGATATTCTGGGCAATGTTCCCCATTTAATCTTTCTTCAAACACCACTGCAATTCATGTTTGTATTATGGCATTTCTTTCACACACAGTTTTAGTTTCTCGAAGAAAAACACATTAAACTCTTAGAGAAAATGCAAGCAATCCTTGTAATAGTGACTGAAAAACCTTTTCTCACATTTTGTTCCCTTCTCAATGGTGGATTTTGGGTTTTTCTGAAACTACAGTTCTGCTGTAATCTGCATGTTGTCCCCATGTTGCTGATTGCCCCCATGGTGTGTGCATCACTCTGCTGCTTAGCTTACATTTGGTCCAAAAAGCTTTTTTTTTTTATGCCAATCCCCCAATTCACTTCAGAAGGGGTGAACTTGGGCCTGGCAGGCTCACTCCATGAATTAATACTTGGAGACCTTTTTGTTGTCAACAGCAGAAAAAGGAAAATAATTTATCAAAATTCTGCACTTCCAAAAGTCCAATTTGGGATCAAGCAGATACAGGTTTGATGAGATCACTTAACTGCAACCTGGCCTTTGCTGTCATGCTCAGTGATTAAGTCAATAAGGAAATCAACTCAAACAGTTGAATTTAATGACTACAATCTGAGTATTTTTTCTATTTTGAATTAAATCATCACTACCCCAGAATCAGAACCAAGCTCCAACACCAGCACGTTAAGGAAATGAATGAACATTCTCAAGACACAGTAGAAGTTCCCAGCAATCTGTCACTGAAGCACAACCTCAGATGGCTCAGGGGGCAGTGAAACAGCTGCTCCACACTAATTCTGTGAAATTCTGGATAAAATTCTGGATACAGGATGTGTGCACTCTCCAGCTATTCCTGACTGCACATCATGCAGAGCCTGTGGACCTGCAAGCCCCTTTCAGGAACTCCAAAGCAGCTCAAAGCCTGGTTTCAAACCCTGCTGTGACCATGGATGAACACACCCATCCCATCCCATCCCATCCCACTCCTCGGGAAAGAATCCCACACTGCAGCACAGAAGTCAAGCCTGGCACACACCACAGCTCTTAAACTGCTGCAGGATCACTGAGGGGCCCAGCCAACCCATGATATTCCCTGCCAAGCCCTGAGCCATTTCCCTCTTTTCCACAACCAAGGGGAAACACTACAGCCTCTTTCCTCAAACCTGCAAGCTGGCAGAAGGAAAAGGGAGAATTTATGAGGCAAAGCTTAGTAAACCATGTTACTACTACAAATGATGATGATCCAAAGAAATTAAACTACTACAAATTTGTTAATACTGAGAAACTACTTGGTTAAAAACATTCCTAATTGAATTTATTAGCAAAAATACAGCCACAACCATGCTGCAGACACAAAACTTGAAAATAATGACACAATTCCTCTTGCAGTCTTAGATAAGAGTATTTGGTTGCTAGAAAAGCAAGAATTCTGCTTCTACCACTATTTCTAATACACACAGAACATAGAATTCCTACTAGGAATGCAAACATTTAAAATATATACATATGTGTCAGGCATAGTAGAGTAACCAGTCCAGATAAACAAAGAAAGGCCTGCAAATTCCCTAGGGATGGAGATCAAAAAAGCTGGAAGGGCAGGTGATACAAACTGCCTTGGGATGCAGACACAGGCCACAAAGCTCAAACACAAGTGTCTTCTCTTTTAACATTGTACTCCTCAAGAGTTCTGCTGGACCATATGGAGAATTGTTAAAGCACAAATGGAAAAAAGCATTCTTATATGAACAGGACACTTTGCATGAACAAAACAGAACCAATTTCTGAAGTTTGTAATTTAGAGAAAACAAAAATGCCCAAATTGTCACTGACACCACATGAGGCCAGGTGTATGCACAAGCACATTTCCACACAGTGACATTTCACTCCCCTTCACCCACAGAAACAGCCCTCAGTAAATTACTGTAAAAGAGAGCAAGGATCTCAAATGATACAATGGGAAGGATGAAGAGTGTGTGCAAGAGCTGTTTGTAAGGATTCCCTGGCTACAGCTGGAGGTGTGTGAGCTAAGATATTGCCAGCAGGGTTAACAAAAATATCTACCTTCTTATTGGCTACATTATACATAATCCTCCCTCCTCTCCTTTGCTTTTGGGGAAAAAAAAAGAGAGAGAAATTAATTTCTCTTAGCATTATAATCTGCCTAACTTCTCAGTTTTAGCAGCAGCTCCAGCTGACACAGTAGCCTTTCAAAGGTAATCCTTAGAAGGGCCCACTGGCAGGGAATTTCCCACAATTACAAAGCAAAACAAAAAAGTATTTATATTGTTTGAGGGTTTAAGATTTTTTCTTAGCTCACTGATGGATAATCTGCCCATGCATGTCTCTGCTCAAACATGGTTGCTTTCCTGGTGAGTCAGTGAATGTTCCTGTATCAATGGAGTTGCAATTCCTTTAAAAAAGGAATACCTGTAACACCTGATTGCAACCAAGCAACTGCACCTAATGAAGCATCCTATGCCTACTGAAAATAAGCAGCTTAATGGGAACTAATCTTAGCTTTCACTGCTGCATTGCAGGGGCAGCAATGGAGGCTAATTTCTATCAGCTAAAATCCTTAATGAACAAAAAGCCAGAAGAGTGGAGGTATTTTTAGTTAGGATAATTAATCAGAAATATGGACAATTTTTAGATGTACCAAATGTGGTCATAAGCAACAATTTAAACCCGTTTCAACAGATGTTTTAAATTGTATTTACCTCCACGCTTTTTGGGAGCTTCAGGTTTCATTTTAACGGTATTTCTGCTTCTAAATTCAGGCCCTTTAAAATCATCTTTGTCTTCATTCAGCACTGGCTCAGGCTGTACAACCACTGTACCTAGAATAATTTTATTTAGAAATTGGAAACCATTACACATCCAAGTGAAGTGCAAAAGTTCTGATTAATAAAGCCAAAAAAAAAAAAAAAAAAAAAAAAGTGCAATCTGTTGACTAAAACTCAACGAAGTTTTGAATGCACAGATGTTCACAGAAAAAAAAAAAAAAGAAAATAAAAAAGGAACCAACACCACACATTTCAAACTACATCTGTGTTGCAGCTGTAGGACAGAAGCCAAGGACTGAATGGGCTGAGGAGCAATTCTGCTCTTTCTGCTCTGCTGTGGCACGTGCAGGACAGGACTGTCACAGTGCTGGGGGGTGCAGGACAGGAGCTTGTTACCAATAAAGGACATCATTTAAATCCCATGCTTTTCTCTCTTTTCCCCCTTCTGTTCAGTTTCCCTCATCTTCACTTATTTCAGCATGAAATAAATGAAAAAGCATTAGAATAAAACCTGCTTTGTCTTTAACAAGATTAAAAAATCTGTTTCATTTCAACAAGTTTTCATTTCAACAAAGTACTAATCAAAATTATATGAAGGAAAAAAACCATCTTTCCTATTTAAGAGCCCAGTTTTGTTGTGAGGGCACTAAAATAATCTAATATTCTGAAAAAATAATTTTAGAATGACTACTCTCAATACTGCTACTCACACAGTGAACAGCAGCAATTTTCCCTCTAACTTTCATAGGTAAGAAATGGATGAATAATCCAACTCACACTGTTGCTAAGAGCAGAGGGATATAGGCCTACAGTATTAACTGTTTCTAAAAGGTGCTTAAAAATAGATCCAATAATGGCATTTTTGCCCCTAGAGTTAGTTTTGCTTTTGTTGGTCTAACTGCTAATAACCTCAAAGACAGAACAGTAAAATAAGACCTCCAAGTGACAGTTTGAGATTCCTGCAAAACAACAGAATAAATAATTTCCCCTGTTTTGTGATGTTTTACACAGATATCAGCAGGCATTAGAAATTAAGCCACCAGCACATCTTTGTGCATCCACAGATTAAAATCTGCTGGGTTCCAAACTGAAAGTGCTCAGGTTCCTCTTTTTTGTGGACAGAAAACCAACAGGACCTTCAAGAGGCATTTTATAATATATGTGCATTCCAGTGAATTATTTATGCTGCATCAGAATCTTGGCTAATTTGCTGAATTCAGAAACAACAACAACAAAAAAAGAAATTACCTACCTTTAGGCAAGCTTTGCATATCTACATCATTCTCTGAGTTCTCATTTGAAATATCTTCATTTACAGTTTCATCTACGATTTGTTCATCATCTGACCCAACATATTTTGTTACGACTGTAGGTTTCCTGCAAAGACAGAAAAAAATCCCCTTTTTCTGACAAAAAGTACAAACTGCAATTCAGGTAAGCTTTGCAAGCAAAATACCATATGAACTGTGAAAAACTAACTAATTATTTTTGAATTAATTAAAGGCATTATGAACTGGGATGCTCCAAGTTATTATTATACAATTGTAGGATAGTTTTAATAACCTAGTTTGGAACAGGATTCCTCCCTTCCCACATGAAACAGAAGTATATACTAATAAAATCTTTTTGCTGTAAAATCAAGGATTGATGTGTTTTTAAGAAAATCACAATTCCAGGAAAGAAGTCTAAATGAAACAAGTGAATGTCTGCTCATGGATTTTATCCATCATTCCAGGTTTAAGAGGCAGCACAAAGAGAACACACAGATATTAGCAAATTGCAAAAAGCATCTTGGCAGAAGAGATGCTTGCAAGGAAATAAAGGAAATGCAGAAAGAAATGAAAAAGCAAACTTGAACGAAAGGATCAGCTGATAGAATTCCACACAAACAATTTAAAAATGAATCCATAAAAATTAATGAATTTACTGTGTCAAAATGGGAAGAAAATAATATAAAATATGGAGCAAATTTTTCAGTAGTCTGAAGGCAATGCATGAACTACTGCAGGATACTGGTTTTGTCAATAGAAGGTACGGGATGAGAAGTGGATGAGTGAAAATCCCTTTAGTGATAAGACAGGAAGCAAAAAACAGGACTAAAATATATATAAATGAAAAGACTTCAGCAGGACAATGGATTCAAAAGATGAGGGAGAAACTAAAGCCAAATATAAAGCCACACTTGCAAATATGGCATCAAGACAAACTTAAAAAGGAGAGTGAAGAATATTAATTCCAGCAGACATGATAAAATAAAGCAACTTGGATAAAAAGGACAGTGAAAAGAAATAGAGACTTCTAAAGAGCAGTACTAAGGCAGCTGCTCAAAGCTCAACTGGGATTTAATAAAAATCACAGAGGACAGAATCTGAGTGAGCATCAGCTGAGAGCAGATGAGGAGGAGTTTGACTGGACTAAGTCTGCTCTTACTTGGAACACAAGTAATTTGTCTCCTGTAGGTTCAAGCAGTTGGTAAACAATTCCCTCCATACTTTTTAGATCAAAGAAGGAAAAAGGATTAAGCAGGGATACAGCAAATGGCAGTTTCTGCACAGGACAACTCAACTGCACAGTCTGATGCTGCATCCTCCCAGTAGTGAAGCACATGAAACCTTTTATTCTGTATGACCAAAGTACATTTTTGGAAGAATCCTACATGTACAAATAGCAAGACTAAAGGAACTCTTGTATAAACTCCTTTGTCCTGAAGATATGGGATAATCTTGTCTTTGTAAATAATAATCAAACTTTAGCATCTTAACCCTTCATCTTGAGAAATGGTTTGAATTTAAACATCTCGAATTTTTTACCAGCACTCCAAAATTTCATGGATTTATACTGGTGTGGACCAAAAATATTTGACACAGTGCACCACTTTTCTATAGCTACCCACACCCAAAAAGTAATTCATTTGTTTTTATTTTCCAAACCAACCTTTTGGAACGGGATAATCCTAATGATTTGGTTTTTTCTGAAGAACTACTTCCCTAGAAACAAGAAAAAAATGTAAAAGTCAACACATTTATATCTAAGGGAACTGTAAAAACAGTTTCTTGCATTAACTGGAAACAGTTCAGAAATCACCAGTGCCCTTATTAAAAAAAAAATAAAATTAAAAAGAGCAGCAGGAAAAGCAGTAACAAGTGACAATTTCAACAGTCATGCCAGTTCAGTTAAACTGAATCTCTGGAATTTCAGGTCAGAAATCAGCAGCTCCCACAGGTCTGGGAGTGCTCTTCTTGCTCCATGAAGAAAGCTTTCCCCTTTTCCAACACCCCTTGCAGAGGGCTCTGGCACCCAGGAGCAGCAGCACCCACAAACTGCCAGCAGAGCAGACTCTTGGTATGTGGCTCATGTGCCAGAAAGCACTGAATGCCTTCAGAACAAAACTCATTTTTTCAATGGTTTTTGTACTCAGATCACAACTAGGTCTGGAAAATACCTGAATTTACAGCAGTAAAGACAAACTACGGCAGTGTTTTCACTACAGTGGTAAGATCTTGTCCACCAGAATGTTTCCAATAGAACAGACAGAAATAAGAAAAATCTCTAGTCAGTTTAACATAGATCCAGTATGTCCATTTTAATTTTTTTTTAAAGGAAGCATATTTGCCTAAAGAACAACTAAGTACCTACTGTTACCCGAGTAACAGGGTGAAAGGGGATGACACTAATGGGAGCTTCTGACAGTATTATTGAAGTATTTACTGCAAAAGCAACAGAGTGAACTCAGCCACTGGGCACTAGACATGCAACCAGAATTCAAAAGTATTTTTATTCCTACCTCATCCCTGTTGTTCTCCATTGAAGCTGGGTTTCCTTTAGGTTCTCTGTTTTTACCTATGGAGAAAAATTTAAAAAGTCCACTGAAATGCAAGGAACATCAGAAGTTCTTCACACTGCACATCACAGCATTGTTCATGTTTCACCAGCCTGGACAGAGATAACTGTGACTTCCAGAGATAAACTGCTGCACAACAGAAAAGACATTCCACTGTGTGGCATAAATTTTACAGAAATAATTCAGAAATCTCTTTCAGTTCAGTCTCTGGGAGCCTGGCTGTTGGTGAAGAAATACTGAAGCACTGCAAGTGCAACTGCACACAGAAATAATATCATTTGTGCATTTTTGCTGATCTCTAAGAATTTACTACAAGTATTTTGTCTGACACATCCTGACATAAGCAACAAAGTATTAAATCTGAGATCACGGAACCATAGACAAAAATCCCATTTGATCCAAGTTCTGATGAGAATTCCTATTTCTCAAGCTTGGGAACTGTGGAATATAAAGCCTAAAGACCTGCAACCTATTGGACCTGCTCCAGTCTACCAGTCCAGGAAAAGGAAAGGAAAGTTTGGAGTTCAGTGATTGAATTATTCTTGTATGAAGTTGCTGCAGAAGTTTAGGAACAGCAGGATTTTAATAGATGCTACTGAGTAGGAAGTATAATTACAGGATACTTATCAGGATTATTTGTGATTTTAACAGAAGACTACTAGCACTGCAACCTCTTTACACTTAAACTTCAGTCTTGGGGAAAACCAAGCAATTTACTTCTACACTTTGAAAAAACTGAATCACTTAGAGAATTCAATGCTGGACATTTGACCTCTGCTGAATTGAGTAAATTGCAGGGAAAACCATCCAGCCATTTCCACATGTGAAGGAGGAAATACAAAATGGAAGCAGACAATGTTTTGGGCCTTTTTAAGTACCTGAAACTTCTCTAGACCATTACAGGCATTCCCTGTTGTGAGGGAGGACATGAGATGTGGAAGGAGGGTGACATTTCTGCTAGGGTTTGGATACTGCCCACCTTCTACTCTTGACCAACTTTTCCCAAGTGATAAACCCATGGAAAATACCAGCTTGGAGAGCTTGGCAGAGTTTCCCCTGCTCTGGCAGCCCCAGTGAGTGCAGACTCTGCACTCAGACTGGCAGCTGATTCCATGTGCCATTCCAAAAGCAGCTGAACTTGCTGCAGTGCCAGTTTCTCCATGTGCCCACCAAAGGACCCTGAGTGCTGCCCTGGCTGCTCCTGCCCAGCCACTCCAGGGCTGTCAGGGAGCACAGCTTCCCCTGGGACTGCTGCTCCACTCTTGGAACAAGAGCAGGCAGGCTGGCTCTCCTGAGCTCTCCCTGGCTGCTGGCCATGCAGTGGAAAGCAGGGAGACATTTCCAATGCAGAGGGAACAAAGAACATTATTAAAGCTATAAAGCAAATATTCCTTCCTGTTTTAACTGACCTCTGTGTGTGACAGGGACAAAAGTTTAAGGTATGAAATTATATCAGCTAACACCCAACTGATTTCTAACATCCAGCCTTCCTGGGCCACACTTCACCACCTTCATCATCATCTCCCTCCTCACAACACTCTACCCAACAGTTCACATATGCTCCAAATGCTGGAGCAAAACAAGATCCATTACTAAAAAAATGTGATTTGGCCCCAGTCACATCCATAACTTCTGATTGTAATGAGCACCCTCTGGATTAAAAAAAAAAAAAAAAAGCAAGCACAGTTGCTAAAGACATTTTTGTTATGCACAGAATATTGGGGAGGGAATTTGCACAGTAAATTCTGGCATTTCCTGATATTTAAGTGTTTAATCCTGACTCTTCAACTTTAATACGTTCTTTTAGATCTCAAAACCAACACTAAAACATGTCTGCCATGAATTTGCAAGTGCATCCATTTCAAAGACAATCTGTGTTTTACAACCTGTGTTTTACAACAAGGAACCAAATGCTAATTTTCAACTATAAAGGAGAAGATTTCTTTTTCCCAGCGTGCTCCTCAGCAAAATTTCACTTTGAGATGCATCTCCATCACAGTTGATTTTACTGTTCTGCTGAAGCACCACGAGTAGTTTCTTTTTTCTGTGCTAACAGTTCAGTTTGATGCTGACATGAGGAGGTGAGTGCCACAGGCAGCAGACTCTCTCTAAACAAAACATTAAAAGATAAAAACTACACGCCAGAAAACCCATGGAAGATATTACCTAAGACAACAGGAGTTTGAAAATAAACTCTGTAATACAGCCAGCACACAATCTTCTCCTGCACTCCACCATACCAACACAACTTTTAGCTCATTAAGCAGCAGAGATCGAAAGGTTTTGTACCTGTATCCAGTCCAAGTTAAACTAAGAAACAAATTTAACCAGTTAAATTTGGAAACAGATTTTATTCAGTATTGACATGAAATAATTTCACTTTTAATCACTGTCATCGAGGTGTTTAAACTTTATTATCTATTTCTAACTTAGAAGTAAAAATTTCCAATATCAATTCTGGCCTCGTTAAGACTCGTTTGTTTTTTTTTAAGTATTATTTTCTTTTCAAATGTTTCCAGATTATATGAAGAAATCTTTTTCAAATTACTATGAAAGCATAATCTCCAGAACTTCTTCCAAACCTACAAGGACTGCAAAAGTGTTACAACAGCAGAAAAACCAAGACATTGCATTTATAAATTGAGGAACACTGAACAAGGAACTCCTGGCACAGCAAACACCTGTGTGTTTGATAGCTCGTGTTTCAGAGAAGGGAAATTATCAGAAGATTAGATTTTTTCACCATTAGAAAGACCCAGAACAGAAATAATTACTGTATCAAAGGCCTATTGTGTATTTATCAAGCTATCACCACATAAATCACATTAAGACTTGGTGTAATTACCCCAGTGAAGTGTGATACAGTGAAATACCAACATCAAGTTGACTTTAGAATCCCATATACATTGAAAATGAACATAAAATAGTTTTTTACCTATACTTTTGTTTTTAGGTAATGCTGGAGGAGAGTTTGCGTCCTCAGATTCTTCTGATGAGTGAGCCAAGAAGTCATGGAGTTTCTGTACCAATGTAGTCAACTTGCTTTCACTGTTAAAATACAAGTAATACGCAGAGTCACACATCTCATTCCAGTTTATCAAGCTTGAAACTTCATGTTTAATCTCAATTAATACACATCCACAAGAGATTTAAACATTTGTTTCTGCCTGAGTATATCAGAGCAAATAAAAATCACGTCATTTTTGCAAATACTGAGTGAAATAATAGGTGCAGCCTTATCGACAAAAAAGCATTAAAAGTCAGTTTGAAGTCATTTTCACTGCTTACAATTATTGACAAAATTCAAGAAAGTCTGAGTGATAATGCTGCTATGACATGAAGACAGCAAAAAATTAATACTCTACTTGTCAGAAGCCAGATAGGTAAGAATAATAAAATCTTTATCACTAAAAAAGGCACCTTTGCGATATAAACCACTAGAATTAACAGAAGGGTTTCACCTGCAAACTTGGAAACAACCAGATCCACTGAATAGGACAGTGAATGTGTTCAGAGTTCAGTGAATGTGACAGGCCCACTGAATATCAAAGTTTGCTGATGCAAAACTTTTATTAAATCTACCATCACATACATGTTGTGTGGTGTTCATTTTGTCAAGAAACAACTATGCAGGGCCAGATCATTCCTTGATCAGTTTGTTTGAGTGCTGATGATTAATTCCTAAAAAATAATCCCCTGGCAACTTTCACGAGACACCTTCAGACCCCAGGAACAGTCTTGGGTACATTTACTGATTACAGTAAAAAGCAACATCTCGATGCCAGGCTTGCCTTAAAAAGCTGTTCCATTTCATAACCTCCATGTTACCCCCTGGCGTTTTACACGGTTTATTTCTCCCAAAACTCCTAGAATTTCCTAGCACGAGGCTTTTCCAGCTGTCCTGACTGAGCCGAGGGTGTTCAGCCACTGCCACTGAGCTGTTTGCTCCCTCCCCTCCTTTATCAGCCCTGTGGAATCTGCAGCTGATCTGTCCTGACTCATCCCCCCTTATCTGCTGCTCCAGACGCTTTTCCCACTCCTGACCTACCCAATCCCCAGCAGAAGTGAGCCCAGATGAAGGAGAAAGGCTTCCCACCCTTCCCACTGTTTGTTTCTCCATTAATTTCAAAATAGTCTTCTAATTGCATGAAGAAATTACATTTTCTGTGCCTGTTTTATTAGGCTTAAGAACTTCTGAATATTCACCCTGAGCAGTCACCTTTACCATCACTACTGTTTCCCTGAACACATCCATTTATTAACTTCTGACTTTCAATTTGTTATTGCCAGAAAAAAATCTCATTTTATCAGGAGGACTTGCAGGTGAGTGCTCTCTTGAGCCATGAGTGAATATCCTCACATCAATGCCAGTGACTATTCCAACCAGTGAAAATAACCACATAAAACAGCATAAACCATCCATTAAAAAAAAAAAAAAATTATCTGCAATTTTTTTAAATCTCCCGAGGTACTCAAAATAAAACAAAATAGCACTTTGCAATGAAAAGATTTTCTGCATGAGTGAAGGGCACTTTTCTTTTGAGACTACACATGTACCATCAATCACTGGAGCAAGTCTGAAAGAGCAGAACAAAGCTCTTTAACTCTCAAGAGTACCTTAAATTTTTTCTCTCAATCTGTCCAAAAGTCTTTTCCTCTAATTACTGGACTCATGCTGCTACACAACTGCCAGTTCCCTAATCTTGGGCTTCCCTTTTTCTCATGGATGGAAGGCATACTTGGAAAACATTACAGAAGATGATAATGGTACTCTGCAGTCTTAACAGCTTGCATGCTCTCCTTTAGAAAGGAGATTTAATGACAATTTACTCGCATTAAGTGAAAAAAAAATAAGAGTTGTTCAGAATTATTTGATAGTAAAAGCATATAAAGAGAGATTTTATATCCATTCCAGATGGTCTGAAGAAATAAGGCACATTTAGAAAGGCCACAAGAAAGTACATTTTTGGTAGTAAAAACCAGCAGCAACAAAAAAGCCACACATGTGGAATTCTGCTCATTTAGTTTATAAATAGCTTGTTTTGGTAACAGCATTTTAGAAAGAAAATAGGAGCTATCCATGAGTTTAGCATTACTGTTGTCAATACAGAATGAATTCAGAATAGTATGCATGTGTCTTTGTGACTAATACTTGGAACATTATCTACTACCATTCATTAACTCTTATCCTAACTAATGTAAAATTATCATTTTCAGAGCAAAATGTTCTTGCTGAGAACCAATCAAAAAGATGATATACAAACTAATATTAAAAAGTCTTTTCAACTTGCTTTTTCTCTTGATTATTCATCATTTTGTACTATAAGCTTTTGTTAAAGAATACCAGGTCAAATCTAAGTAAAGGTGTTACACTTACTATACTTCACTAGAGAGAAATGTTAATTTAGGGCAATGCTTTATCTGGTTTTGTACAAAAGTGATTTTATGTCATTCATTTATACTTGAGAATAATAACCTATTATTTCTGTTTAAAGCTTCTACTGCAAAATGCTGATTCTTTGCAGTACACACCCAGTCACTGCGAAATTGATCACAATCTATAAATGCGTGGTTTTTAATAAACATAGGAGCCTAAAAATGCCAAACCATCTCTGAAGCACTAGTGAGGCAAGCAGGCTCCTCTACACTGACAGTCCCCACACTATCTATTAGTGTTTTCACACCGGAGTTTTCTAAGCAAATGGCTTCCTCACCACTCTGGAGTTATTTCAACACTGTTGAGCTTAATTAAAACACGACTGAAAGGGAGCGTGCCCTGCTATTATTGATTTGTGAACCTGATTTGTGACCTTGGGAGCTACCTTGGAATGCACCATTCCTCACCTACATTCAGAGTGAGTGCTGCTAAAGCAAACAATAATTGCCTGGCCTTTACAGGATAACAAAACATCTAGAGTAGGCAAATCACCTATAAATGAGTCTACAAATAATTAGAATAAATAAAGAGCCAGACAGGTTGTGTCCTAATCTAGACATAACATGCTTCATTCCAGCTGGCTGCTGAGTGCTGTTCCCTGGATGTTCTTACCTGTACCAGGTTTGTGTGGCCAGGTTTTGGTAATGGGGGGCTACAGAGGTGACTGACTTCTGTGCTGAGGTGCCAGAAGCTTCCCCCATGTCCAGCTGAGCCGACACCAGCCTGCTCCAAGAGGGACAGGCTGCTGGCCAAGGCTGAGCCCATCAGCAGTGCCCGTAGTGCCTCTGGAGTTATGTATTTGGGAAAGGAAAAAACCTGCTGCAAAACAGCAGCTGGGGAGGAGCAAATATGCACCCTGCAGACACCGAGGCCAGGGGAGAAGGGGAGGAGGCACATCAGGGTCAGAGGAGAGATCCACCCGCAGTCCATGGGGGTCCACGGGGGAGCAGAGACCTCGCTGCAGCCCAGGGAGGGCCCCACCCTGCTCAGGGTGATGCCCAAGGAGGCTGTGAGCCCACGGGACCCCTCTGCTGCAGCAGCCCCTCTCTGAACCCCGTGGGATGGGAAAGGACCACGCTGGAGCAGTTTGGGAAGAGCTGCAGCCCACGGGAAGCACTCCCATGGGAGAAGCCCATGGAGAACCATCTCCCATGGGAGGGACCCCACACTGGAGCTGGGGAGGAGTGTGGTGAGCACAACCACAGCCCCTATTCCCATCCTCCTGCACTGCTCACCAGGAGGAGGCAGAGAACCAAGTAAAGTTGAACCTGGGAGAAAGGAAGGGATGAGGAGATGTTTTAACACTGGGGATTTATTTCTCATTACCCTACTCTGATTTGACTGGCAAAAAATTAAGCTGATTTCCCCAAGCAGTCTGTTTTGCTTGTGACAGCAATTGTTGGATAATGTCTCTGTCTTTCTCAAAACCTGAACTTTCCACTGTGCTGTCCCTCCCGTGCCCAGCTGAGGAGGGGCAGTGACACAGGGACAGTGTCACAGTGGGTACCCACCACGACCTCACCCCCCTGTGCCAGCTGTGCTTCCCCAAAGCAAATCACATCACCTTGCACAAAGAAAATTTCAACCAACAGTTTTCATTTGGATCCAACTTGCCACACATTGACATGATCATATTTCTTCTGAAGGCAGGTGAGCTGATAAAAATTCATAACCAGGGCAGTGGAAGGAGCAGCACTGCCCACTTCAGCAGCAAAGCCGGGACATATTGGACTATCCTCTGAAACTGCACTGAAAAGCTTGTTATTGCAGTCAGCTTCGATTTGCTTTCTTCAGACACTTTAAAAATGGAAGTGGAAGAATGTCCCAGTTATTGTCAACATCTGGAACAATAATTTGAAAGCTGCATTTTCTTTAAACAAACACCAACTATTACTCTAAACAAGTGTCCCTCATCTGCATTTCAAGTGGCTCCTGAACGTGACACAGGAGTCCTTTCCAGCTTTTATCTATCCCAATCTTGACAAATATGCTTTTTTTAAACCATATGCCTTCCTTAAGTTCAATACTTGTAGCTTGAACTATTTTAAAAGTTTAAACATAGAAAAATCTTAGACAAATTTTTTAAATTCTTGTTTACAGTTGCTTCAAATTAAGTCTCAGTCGTTTTCCACTTTTGAAACTGAAACTGCAGAACAACTATTAAACAGACAAAATTAAACAATCCCTAGGAAAAATAATTAAAGCAAAATAAAACCAGATGTACTTTTAAACTGCCAGTCTGTAGACTGCTACCCTCTGCTTCCAACTCTATCCCTGTGTGAACAGCAGAAATCCAACAACCCACAGCAAAACTTTCAATATTTTATTTAGGCTAGTGGGAAGTGAGACTGCTCCTAAGCCTTGATATAATCAGGCCAGTATTCTGTCACCTGCAAGTCCTCATAAAAGTTTTTCCTGATGAGAAGGAAAAGAGAATTAGCCCAATTCAAAATTTTCAGTTACAAGGGTAGAGCCTAGATGGTTGTTTCACATAAAGTATGATGGTTGTTTCACATAAAGTATGTCAATATTGTGGCCGAACACACATGAATGAAATAGCTTAAAGTGGTGGGAAAGAGTGAGAGAGGATAAAACCTCCAGTAGGAGTTATTCTACTTTCTTATCCCAATTTTAAAAATTGAGTGAACACATCACACCTTCCATGTCCTAAGAAACCTACTTCTGTCAGAAAAAATACAAAACCAGAAAAAAATCAGCCTACCATTATATTACTTGAACAAGTAAAATATGGTTTTATAATGGTGGGGAAGCAGAACACTTCCTCCCAGTGTTCGTTTTTCAACTCAACAATGGTTTTCTGCAGGTAAAAGCATTATGGCACTCTAAGTCCCAGATCAGATTCACATTTTGGACCTTACTTACACTGATACACCAATTCTGCCAAACCAAGTGAGGTTTTACCCTCGGGATTCACAGTCTGATCGTGTTGGCATGAAGCAGCTCTACTGCCCAAGGACACAAACCCTCACACCCTGCACACTCACTCCTCTCCTTTCTCCTCCACTCCACACCAGGGACTCTGGAGCTCCTTTGTAGCCCCAGCACAAGCAGAGACAGCTACAGGAGGTGACCCAGGACAATGTCCAGCCAGGTGCCAAGTGACTCCTCAGATGGAGGCCCCACAATCTTTCTGGGTCAGCTGCCCGTGTATGACCATTATCAGAGTAAAGCATTTCTCTGGTGTTGAGGAGGAATTGTACCACACTGAACTGATTAGATCAGATACATCAGAAAATACCTGAACACTAAAGCTCTGACTGAAAAGACATGGAGGCATCCAGAACTTCATCAGAGATTCTGTACCTAACACTTTGCTAACACACACTCACTTTTTTACTTTGTTTAGAACTGACTTTTAATCCACAGAGACTTAATCAAGTGATACCTGGTACAGCTGAAGACACTCAGTGATGTGGATGAAGTAATTTTGGAGCTTAAATACAGCATAACAGGTTCAGACAAGTAAACAGAATTATCTTCCTCCAGACACACAAGGGGAATGAAAAAGCAACAGTACAAAGTCACTAAGAGACCCTTTATTTTGTTTAAGGAAGATTACACAGTTTCTTTCTCTTAACATGGTGTGAGTTATCACGCTTCATTCACTAAGAAGTGAAAATAAAAAAACTTTGTCTTAATTTTGCCTTGTGGGTTTGTGATGATGTTGCTTGTTTGGGTTTTTTAAGATCCCATTAAAGAAACACGTTAAAAACAATCTCATTGTTAGGTTGGTTTCAATGCCACACTGCAATGTAACTTCAATGGAGAAATACCTTGCAAGCTGGAAAAGACTGAAGCCACCACCTGAAAATCTAAACACAACATTTTCACCTTTATGAGATAAAAATCATGTAAAGTGCACACCTTACTCAATTGATTCAGGAAAGGAAGCTCAGTTTAGTACACATAACACACAAACCAAGCTGTATTTAAAATCTTTAAACACACTCTGTGAGAAGGGAAGGGGGGGCCCCACAACAAGGCCACCCCTAAATCTAAAAATGCCTTTTGCTTCATTTCCCTTTTGCTCCCTGGAGCTGATCACAGGTTCTCAACAAAACCTCCTTCAGTACCAACTCTGCTGAGAATCAAAGCCTGGCCCTTCAACTCTCCCACATGCTCCCAACCACAGCTGCCACAGCTTTGAGGGCTGCAGCTCATCCAAAGCTCAGGTTTTCATTTTACAAGATAAAAGGCATCTCAGCCTCAAATTTATTGCTTATTTTTTAGTTTTCCTTTACATGACAGATGCATTTTCCCAACAAAGCTTCTAGGCTGAACCTATTAAAGCCTACAGTTGGACCCACTCAGATAGAAATTTCTACAACTATGCAGCTTTTGGACTTGCAAATGAACTGCTTCAATGGCATTACAGCTGACATTGGTCAGCAGCCTGTGTCATCAAGTTCTTGATTTTTTTCAAGGTTTCATTTCTTTTCTAACAAAAAAACCCAACACAAATCAATCCATCACACACCCTGAGTGACAGCTACATTTCATCACAGACTATGAAAGCTTTATGCTCCTCCTTTAGTAAATAAATCAGGACACTTCACCTCGTAAAGTCAACATAAAACCTTCCATTACATTTGCCACTGAGTTTCTACAATTTCTTCTTTCTCCTGCTGCCACACCAAGGGAACAGCCTGCCACTGACCCATCCATGAACTCATTCGTGTTTCCAAATGACCTGCAGGCATGAGCTGAGCTCCAGCGATACAAAATGTGATTTCATGAGGTTCAGCACTATCCTTAGGCTTCCCCTTTATAAAAGACACTTCTGGTAATCCAATTTAAAATGTACTTGGTCACAGGCTACAGACATTTGTTTTTACGATGAACACAGCATATTTTAGCATTACTTTGGTATTTTCTTTTGGTGAGGTATAGGCACATATAAAGCACTCTCTTCCACTCTTCAAGCAGAGGGTACAAGGAGTTAGTCTGTAACAGAACTGAGAAATTCAAATTTCAAACTCTCACAATGTTTAGCTCATCCTGTTGCAAAATTTGTATTACACACGCCTCTGACACACCAAATTGCTTCCTAGGAAATGAAGATATCTTTAGTTAAGCCCTATACAGACCCTGATACAAAGTTTGCAGAGCCCTAACAGACAATACTGTACAAAACCACAAACAACGAAGTCTCTTCAGCAAGTTTCTCTCCCAGAAAACTTAAATTAGTGCTGCAGATACTGGTTCTGGGGCACACCTAGCACTGAAGATGACACAGTTTTGCTCTTCCTCAGCAAGAAGCAAAGAATCTGCCTATACCCATTCCAGAACAGTGTGGAAGTCAGAGAACTTTCACTGTCCCTTTAGGGAATACAGAAGATTATGTGTTGACTTACTTCCAATTATATCATCCTGGCATCAAGTAACACACCTCAAACAACCCTGCAATATCACTCAGAACAAAGACATTCAACTGACTCAAGAATGCAGACAATTTCATAATAACTTTAAAACCAAATGACCAATATCATAATGTGAGGTAAAAATTCTGGATTAAAAAAAGCCCAAGATCAAAGCCTATTTTGCCAACTTAAAAAAAAAAAAAAAAAAAGACACTACATTCACTGACTACCAGATAGTTCAAGTAAGGAAGATTCAAAACTTGTTTTCTTTACTGCTGTGCTTAT